CACTATTAACTGTTCTTTACTTATCAGAAGCCACGAAGGCCAGCCAGGTGACATAAAGTGCTTAAAAAAGAAAAATAAAGTGCTAAGAGGGGCTGGTGATGTCACTCCATTAGAGCATGTAAAAGGCCCAGTGTGCCGTCCCTAGGAAGAAGAAGGGGAGGAAGAAGCAGCAGAGGTAGCAGAGGAGGTGGAGGGGGAGCAGAGAGAAGAACGGCGGGGGAGTGTTAAGGGAGGGGGAGAGAAAGGCAGGCCAAAAAGTCTGAAGAACTAGGTCAGAAATACACCTTCCCTACAGAAAGGCTAAAGGGGCCAGCTTGGTAGCCTATGCCTATAATCCCAGCCTTCAGGGAGGCTGAGGCGGATGATCCCAAGTGTGAGCCCAGTCTAGGCAACTTAGAGACTGGGTGAGACCTTGTTCTAAAAGACAATTTGGCATTTTGCTCAGTGGGAAAGCCCTGCATTCATCCCTATTTAGTCTATGGTTTGTAATGCTGAAGGGGACACTGGGACTCCCTGACTCCTCTCCACCTGCACCATCCAGTTGTTTCTCCTCCTCTTCCCCCAGGGGTGTTACTAATTGCTTGCCTGCTGCATGCTGAGAAGCCCACTGAGAGCCTGGGTGCTTTGGCACAAACACCTCTGCCACCTCCCTGGCATGAATCAATGCTAGGTGAGTGGAAGGAGGAGGATTTCCATGAATGGGGTTGGACGTATTAGTGAACAGGGTTATTGCCCAGGTAAGCATTCACCACAGTGTCATAAGACACTGTTTTAAGAATATCTGCATTGTGTTTATAAACTCATTTAAGTCTATACAATGAGCGTTTTATTAAGTTTCAAAAATAATGTCTTGGGGAACAATTGCAATGTATTTTAAATCTTTACAAATACAGACTCCCTTCCACACTCCAAAATCCAAGGTACTGGCACCTGAATTATGGAGCACTGGCTAAAAACACAGACCTCTCTCTCCCTTCCTTTCTTTCTATTTATTATTAATCACTTTTTGTTGCTGGTGGTATGAGGCAAGGGCCTGGCTATCCTACGTAGCCTGGGCTCCAACTCTCCAACTTCTTCCCCCAGCCATCATGTCTGACACAGAAGTCTGCTTCATTCTTTCAGTTCTTTTTACTTGGTATTTGTGGTTTTGCAATTGTGGCTACAAAAAATAGACACCCTGTGTGCTCAGGACGTGTGCTACCACTGAACTATGAACCTGCCACGGAACATTTTTCTTTAGCACATTTGCACAAGAGAGTTGGGTCGTGTAGTTTTTTCAAGTATTATTCACTTACTAGTATTTAAGTAAGACTACTTTCACAGTGAGCTACTTCTAGTATATAGATTTCAGATACACTTATTTATTTCCCCAGTGGGAGTACTGTGGATTAGAATCTGGGGAATTTTTGACCTTACTATTTGATTTTATATTTTGAGACAGAGGTCCTCTAGGTTTCACAGGATGATCATCAGCCTGAAAACAGTTACGAGGAGGGACATGGATGACTGTGCCCCGAAACGCCATTCATATCAAAGTTGATTCACTGAAACACATCCTTCTGGAAACATTCAAAACACAGTTTAATCAAGTATCTGATCCAGAAATTTGATAGGGAAAATTAACAGTCATTTAATTCAGTCTCTCAGTGTAACCACAACAAAAAAATGAGTGAGAAAACAAAAATTAAGTTCAGAAAAAATACAAATATAAAGAAAGTAACAGAAAGAAGGCTGAAAGAAAGCTCTTCTGGCTGCGTGGCTGCAGGAAATTTCCCTGAAGAGGCTTCTGCTGAGCTGAATTTTGACGTGGCAGGTGGGTCATCTGCATTTGTACCCTGGCTACGCCAAAGGCTGAGGCAAGAGGGTGCTAAATTCCCAGGAATGCTGGGCAATGAAGAAAATAGCCTCCGTGAAAATGTCAGAGACTTAGATGAAAAAGGCTATGGGTGTAACTTGGTGGCAATGTCACTTGCCTAGCATGTAGCAAGTTCTGTATCCATTCTCCAGTACTGCAGACAGTTCAAAAAATTCTTTTAAAAAGTGAAATGAAAAGACTGAGACTTTCTTCATCAGTACAGCATTTATTTTGGTTATATGAGGACCAATTTCAACAACATTAAAACAATCATCTTGTCTTAGCGAAAGAGTACTGACCTGATCTATAATTATGCTGCACAAGGTGCCTCAGGTGTGATTTCATTTGGAGCACTTTTTTTTTCTTCCCTGAGTGCTCATTCAGTTGATATAAATGGAATTATCTCTGTGTGTCCTCGAGACATATCAGTGTTTGTAGTGCCCCAAATCCCTTCATCTCTGCTGGAACTCTGCACATAGAGGTGTACTTAGCAATTATACAAGAAGTGGTTTGAGAATTGGTGGTAGCTAGGCTTCAAGGAAGATGCCAGGACCCAGGGTGGTGATGCTTGGGTGTTATCCCAGTACTAATGAGACAGCATCACGAGCACCCACATGCAGTAGAGCTTGACCAGTGTCAGGGGTTCACTGTCTCAGAGCAGATGAAGTAAAAAGATCTGGGGAGGCAGCCAGGGCAAAGGCCATGCACTCTATCCCCAGCAGCTCATAAGGCAAATAGCAGTCACGGACCCCTTCCAGCTTAACTTCCCCAAGGTCTCACATTGTGCTAAGGTCGGACTTTGTCGGCATTAGCACAGAGAATGTGGCTTCCAGGATGAACTGAAGACACTGTGGCTTCCATTAGTTCCTTCTCTCTGTCTAGCCTCTGTGGGCTTTCATAGGGAGCAGCTGGGGCTGCCTATAACAAGGCAGGGAGCCCACAGCTCTCCACCTGCAGTGAAACCAGGTATGACTTGCAGCCCTGAGCAACCACAGAAAAGACTAGTCAGAAGCACCTAGTCACAGAGCTAAGTCTGTACCTCAGATAAATGAGTGATACCAACAGGAATGAAAAGTGAGATAAGGGAACTGGAGGACATGGGGTGATTAAACAAAAAGAGGAAGCAATCTGTGCTATGTACAGATCATCTCCCCTCAGGGGATTTTAAACTCCAAGAACTGCAAACATGGACCAGTAAAATTAAATACCAGAAATGTACAAAACAACCTACAGGAAAATACCTGCTGAAGGAGCAGCAGTAATGCACATGAGAAAGTAGATCTCAATCATTTGGTGATGCTGGGAGTGGCCTAGCCAATGGGGAGTGAGAAATCATCTCATTTGCATGACTGCCAAGCAAAATGGTGATGTCACTGGCATGTGCTCCTTCAGCTGATTGGGTCTCAGTAACAGTGACAGTTGGTCTCAGATGGTAAGCGACTGTTGAGGTGAGCACATCTCTTTCTGCTTTCTCCTTCATATCCACAAAGCTAAATAAGTAAAACTACACCTGGCTCTTGATATATCTTAGCCAAGTAACATACTTTTGATGGTGATTTCAGTGGGTACTGACCACAAGAGTAGATGGCTATTTGAACTTGGAGAGTTATCCTCTGGGTTTTGAGGCCTGAATGTACAGCAAGGGGGAATATATATATCCATATATATGTGTGTATATATAGTATGGTGTTTTGTGCTACTTTAAAACTTTACAAATTTATTTGGTTATGGAGAGTACTGACGATGAATCCTAGAAGCATTCTTTCACTGAGGTATAGAGTCAGCTCTTTCTGTGTGTTACATGGAGACAGGGTCTCACTGTGTGCTTTCTGGCTGCCCAAGAACTTGCCATCCTCCCACGTCTTCCTGTAGATTGGCATATGTGGCTCTACACTCACAGCCTGAACTATTTTTGTGTAGGGAGACAAAACAATCAGATACCAAACTTTGACACAACTTTGACAGTTAAGACCCAGTCTGGCTACACATGCGTCTGGAGCATCTGGACTGTGTAATGAGACCCTGGCTCAAAAATTATCTTTGTAACTTTAAAAAGAAAACAGCAACTTAAACTTTAGACTAGTAACCAATGTTTGACATAGAGGGTTACAAGATACTTCAACTGAAAATATTCAGATTTGTATCTGAAAAAGTCTGGACTATGGATCACTGCTTCTCAGCTTCCAGTCAACATGAGCTTCTAATGTAGCCCAGAAAACAATCAGGTACCATTCGTTTTCTTTTTTACCTAAGGTGTGAAACATTGTCCTGTATAAAATCAGATTTAAAATTCTCCTGCAGTATTCCCCAAGAATGTTTTATTATCATATCTTCCCAATTTTAAAATCTTAATGATGGATTTTATTTCTAGAATTGTTCATATGCAATATGGAAGAATGGGTGATCAATACATGATGTCATTTTTAGCTAAGCTTTAAAATTCTATTTTCTTGTACAAACAATTCATATATACATTTTTCTTCTGAGTACATCCTCCCAACTGCTCTGTGGATAAAACAAGGTTCTACCTTACCACAACCCACATCAATCCCTAAGGTTCTTCTACTTCCCTACTCACGGAAGTTAGCGTCATGTTCATTAGTGTAGCACTTCTTTTATTAATTCCCATGCATCTTTTCTTCCATTCAGTGAAGAAGGCACACACTATCATAAGACGGTAATTTGGGAGGTTTGTTACTGTTTAAAAAAGTACCAAAGATATACTTCTGATGTCTTTATTTTGTTGTGTATTTGAAATATGATTTGAAGAACTTTTTGTGTTACTACAACAGAACTCTACAAGTGTGAAATTCTGTGGTAAATTCAGCTATTATCTTTTGAATTTGATCATGTTTCTCTGCTATTGAAGCAATTCATAAGGTATCAAAAATCCATACTAAGTGGATGCTCAGAGAGAGTATGTGTAAATATTACAGATGGGATAGCCATTTAAAGATAGACTCATATCTCTGCACTTGGTTTGTCAAACAGGTTTGATGTCAGGTAACTCACAGGATTGGGGGGCTTCGATGGAACTGTTGTACTTAAGGGTACACTTGCAGGAAATGGTGTGGAATACTGTGACTCTTTGGTGAGTCTTCCTGTTGAGACCAGGAAGACTTAATTCTAGCACTGTCATCTTTGCAGATAGGAGTGTCCTGTCTTGACCGATGGCACATTTCTTGCCTTAAGGCCGTGGAAGCATCCATCTCTTAGCCTACTTTGTATTCCTCAGACAGTGAGGTGAGCCACCCCCTCATTCTCCAACATCCTTTCCAGAGCACCCGTGGGTCCTACCACCCTTCACTGCACCCTGGTCCTTCACCATCACTCAGGGGTGAGCCCAATGCCTAGACAATTCTGCCACCCACCCACAACCCCATGAAGAACTTAAAATTTGACATTAATTGTTGGATCACAAACGGTGTAGTTCACATCTCTCCCATAAAAAAGAAATACTAGTGCTGCCAATTTCGTAGTCTGTGGAGAATAGTGAATGACATGTCCAAAACACCAAGGAGAGGTGCTTAGACATAGTCACCCCTCAAGTGTTAGCTGGCAGAGATGTCATTTCCCTTACTTTTTGATCTGGGAGGTGATTTCTGCCAGTGCTACTGACTAACACCCAAACTTAGGTCACATCATCTCTGATCCTGGTGGGCAGCCCCTGAATGGAACTTAACCCCTCAAATCTCCCCCTTGAGGAAGGTTTTTGTGTAGTTGTAATTATTGTCATCAGGTCAATAAGGTGAGTGAGACACTTGACTTTCCTTCTGTCCTGTTTTCTCATCTTAGTCCATGAGACCTGCTGCATTCTAGGAGAGTAGATTTTAAAGGTAGGGTGGAAATGTTTGCCCACCCAGAATGGGGCTAGAATGAATCTTGAAAGGAAGATATTTATGCACTTCCAAGTCTCAGAGCAGGGGTTACTCATGCCAGGTAGAGCTGAGTTAGGCCCCTCATGAAAGACTCATGTCTGAAGAGGAGAGGGCAGGACTAGGCCAGAGCTGCTGTTGGGCTGAAGGAAAACAATCTAGACCCCAGTCATCATCAGGTCAGAAATGGAAACCTGCAGTAACTCCATCAGGTAGTGACTGTGGGGGTCGTTGGCAGTTTGGTTTTGGGTGATTTCGAGCATAGGTCATGTGTGCTGGGAGGGAGTTAGCAGGCGAAGGTGTTGGGAGTCAGACTCAAGGAAGGTTGCTCTGCACAGGAAACATCTGCCTCCTGTGGGATCTGTGGAGTGAGGAATGACTGCCTGCCCCTGGGAAGAGCATATGTCCCAGGCTAGAGAGAGACATCTGCATATCATGAAATACACCATGTGAAAAGCTCCCTCCCATGCTGTGGCACACACCCATCCTGTTTCCCCCACCTCCTCCCATTTCTGGGTGTCTCTAGCTGCAGAGCTGCTTTCTATAAGCAGCTTCAGGCAAAAGAGGCCTTCTGTGTCATGAACTCCTTTTTTGACTCCCTGATTTGCAGAGCCAACATCAGGCAAACGCAAATCAGTCTGTTTCAGGAGAAAGAGTTCAGTGCCTTAGAGACAAGACTTTTTACCATGTGAACATCCAACAGAGAAATTCTCACAAGGTGTCCTTGTGGGATAATTGCATTTTACTGGTAAACTAGTGTTCACTACACTACACTTCACACTACAAGAAAATTGTTTAATTCCAAAGACATTCTCTGTGATCCATGACACCGTACTTAACACCCTTATGAATGGAGTGGGCTCCTCCACCAGCACCACACTCACATGGTGGTTTGAGGTTAATACAAAGTGCTGGGTTACATCCACAGCACTTTTGATTGTAATGAGACACAAGGCCCTGCTAAGTTGCCCCGATGAACTTAAAGACTGCGTGCTTTTACCTCTGGCTCCTGAGGAATTATTATTGTAGGCCTGTGCTACCCTGTCTGGTCATGCGCACCACTTCAGTCAGAAAAGGACTCAATTTTTTTCAGTTTTGCATTGGTTGGTGCTGTCAATCTGGGACTGTTGGATGCCAGGCAGCTGCTCTTGCACTGAGCCGTGCCACCACTCCAGAATGTGGTTCCTTAATCCTTAGCATTTGAGTTTGGACACCTTCGTATAAACATCTAGAATACAGTTTAATATGGACCTGGGTAGTCATTTTGAAAGAGAAAATGAACAGTGATATGGTTGAGACTCTAGCTGAGATTCCCAGCACCAAACGACAGGAAAACCACAGTTAGAAAGAATGATAGAAAGAAGGAAGGAGACAAAAAAGGGGAAGCATCATAAAGAAACACTGACATATAAAGTAAGTATGGGAGGGAAGACATAGGGAACAACCCAGGGTAAAAGTGTCTGCAGAGGATTCTTCTAAACTGTCACTTGTGTTATGATGTGTCCAGGTAAAGTCATCCGTGTCATTACCCTAGCTATGCCAGAAGCTGAGGCAGGAGGAAGGCAATGAAACATGGGCAATTTGGAAAGATCCTACCTCACAATTTAAAACTGTTTTGTCTAGAAAGTCTGGGGATAACTTAGTGGCAGACCACTTGACTAGCTCATGGAAAGTGCTGGATTCCTTCTGCAGCATGTGAGAAATGGGTTCATTTGCCTCGATTCAAAGAACTGACTCGAAGGAGGGAAAAGCAGTGAGAGTGTGGCTGTGGTCAGTCTACTGTGAGGGGAAGATGGTACCGGCAGGGTGGCACCCGGGCGCCCACCATAAGGAATGATTTCCTAGCCCACAGGGGCCTTCTAGAGCTCACCACTGTGCGAGTCCGGGGAGGGGACAATCTTTCCAGAAGCCACCTGTGTGCTTACTTGCTGTATAAAGCAGATCCTCGGTATTGCTGGTTCTTTACTCTAGGGCTTTCTGAGAAGCAAGATGTTCCTGCTTAAAGATTTCATGCTTGTGAAGATTACTTTTCTGCTTATTCTTAACAAGCTTACCCATGTTTCTAACTGAAGGCTTTTTCATTAGTTGATTTCTCCTCCAAAAACTCTTTTTCTTGGAAAAGTGCTGGACATATGAACTTTTTCAAGTTTTTAGAAAAATTTTAACTGCTAGCAAGCAATTTTTTACTCAGAGTTCACTGTTTTGTCTTAAAAATCACCAGTTTCAGTTTATTTTCTTACAAATTCCCTCTTTTTCTTTGTTACTGTCTTGATCGTATTTTTATTCCAATTTTAACCAAATGATATCATTTGGTTTTTAAATAATTTTGGTATCATCTGATTCTCTTCATCATAAGAGACGCAGTCCCTGCTCTTTCCAGATGTTTCCAAATGTATGCGCCATAACATGAGTGCATTTGTTTTCAGTATGTATAGTGCCTTCTTGGCCTTCGAGGAGCTCTAATCATGCTTGAGAACACACAGCTCAAAAGTTTGAGCTGAGTAGCCCTGGGCAACTCGCCACACTCACATAATGATTGTATTTCATCATCAATTATGGCATAATCATATACATCTTTCCCTCTCTTACTTGGCCAAGGCCCACCCATGAATAATCTGATCTCTTTATGGAGTGAGTTTCTTTAACCAGGCCTGATTTTTGGCTTAAGAAGTAATGTTCTAGGGTCTAGAGGTGCCTCTTTCACTTCCACAAAGCTGGCTGGGATCAGACAGCTGTCAGTTTTGAGAATCAAGTCATCCCTTTCTAACAGAGTAGTTTTACACTGCCAGGCATGGTGGTGCACACCTGTGACCCTGGCACTCAGGAGCCACAGGCATGGTGATTGCCCGGAATTTGAGACCAGGCTGGGCTGCATAGTGAGTTTCACACCAGCCTGAACTACAAAATGACACCCTTTCTCAAAAAGCAAGCCTAACAAATAAATGAGTAAAAATGATCCTTTAGCCTGTTGTGTTCTTAGTTAGAGTGATATTTTCTCAAAAAGTAAAGCAGGTATGCCTTCTCTTTTATCTGTCGGACTAGTAATATTTTCCTAGACCCTCTTTAGGTCCCAGACTTAAATCTGCAAAGTGTTTTTGGAGGAGCTGCTAAGAAGGAACCCACTGACTACCCAACCTTCATCAAAAGCCATGAGAGGAATCAGCTTTGCTTTGCTTTTCTGTTCTGTATACTCTCTTTCAAATGCCCTGGCTCTCCACATTGATAATATGCACTTGCTATGTTAGGATTACACCCCTTGAAGTCTCCTTGTGGTTTCTTTGCTGAGTCTTTCCTTGTCCCTCTTGTGTGGAGTCTTCCCCCAATTTCCTGCCTTTTGTACAGAAGAGACCTTGATTTTCACTTTCTGCTTTTCCTCTTTCCTCTCTACAAAGCTTTTGAGCCATTCTTAGTAATTCAGTTGACTTCTCACTCCATCCCTCAATCCTTATAACTTTTTAGTAATATCAGCGCTGCTCTCAGTCACAAAATTTCCCTGAAGGAGTCTTTGATCTGTATATTTGGGAGAATCATTAGTACATCAAAAAACAAAAAAGTAAGCTTCATCCTCTTTAGACTTTTTCCCAACATTTTCGAACCTCGTAGTTTTGTCATTCTCTTCCTTTTTTATCCTGGTAAGGCAAGAATTACCATACAAAATTCTCTGACACCAAGAATGTGTCTGTCCACTGTTCGTATTTTATTTTTTATCCTACCTATGAGTTCCTCTCTATAACAAAGCTCGTGCCCTGGCAGGCTTTTTCCCTTGGTCCCTGAGTGAGTTCAGAAATAGTTACAGTCTAAATAGTGCTGACTGGCAACACCTACAAGGGAACTTGGGTAGTGTCTTTATCTGAGTTCAAGCAGAGACCAACAGAAGAGCAAGTTAACCCTGGAGCTGAATTCTAGAACTATCCCAATGTGCAGGCTCTTTTAGACATACCAATTAAACAAAAAATATCAAGTTAAATCAGAATATAAAAGTAAATGTATCAATCACTGAAATTTTGCCAAAAAGGCTGAAAGCTTGAAGTTAGGACTTTGGGTCAAGCAAAACACCAATGTTTAATCATCCTTTGTTTTTATTTATCCTTGCTACAAGTGAAGTTCCCAGCCCCTAAAACTTTAGCAATTCCTGAGTGGGCTATCTGGAGGATGTGGGAGGCAGAGTCCTTATTTCCCATTTCTTCAGTCATGGAGGCCTACAATTCTCCGTTTTCTGCTGGTCTTTGTGATTGAATTTCCCTCTGTATTCAATTCCGTGCTTCAGGTTTCTTGCACTCTCTGTGTACTCAACCATGCTGGAGGTTTCTCATGAAACCTCATCTCAGTCATGTATAATTGAAAATGCCCAAACTGTCTGTTATGGATTCAGAACTGGTGGTCAAATTAACACCAGCTGGATTACCTCAGCATGGCATTGTGTGAAGATCCCCTACCCGAGGAAAGTTGCCAGAATAAACAGGTGGAGAAGAAGGGAGGTGTTTAGGGTTGAGGCATTAAGGAGGCATTGTGGGTTCTCCTATGATTTGCTGTCTGAGCTGTTGGTTCTCCTGGAGAAGCTTTGGTCCTCACATTGTGCATTGCTTCCTGACTCTGGAGGGGAATACATGTGCTGCTTGGCTCCAAGATGAACTCTTCATGCTGCTTCCTGGCAAGAACCCGACTGTGCTTGTCTTTGGAGGAGCTTGGGGCCTCCATGTTGCTGAGGATGGCTGTGGTGCCTTTCAGGATAACCCTGGTCTTTCTTGTAGTGTGACTTCTCGGCTCCAGTGTAAAGCCCTCATCCCACTAGCACAGCTCCTTCATTCTGCTGGCATAGACTTTCTGGCTTCCAAAGCTGACCCTTGGGTCTTCCCGGCACTGATACGAAAAAGAGACTGGTGTGAGTCCTCCTTGTGGAATAGGGGCCTCCAGTTGTAACTCCTGGGAGGCATTGTCCTGAGCTCTGGGTTTTTATCTGGACTGATGTGGGACATGTGCTGTGGGGTTTAGGCTCTTACCTAAATAATTTATGTCTTTGGTGTTGTGGATACATTTCCTTCATTTTCCTGTGTTAACTCCTAGTGACCAATATAAAACTGAGTAGTAAACTCCATGTCTTGATCCAGTTGTTCTCTGTGCACAATCCCTGAGTACGACATTGCCAAAGCAGTACTTCCAGTTCATGGTTCATACCATGGCTCATGTGTGAGGTTCCTGGTTGCCACAGTGCATATTTTATCTCCCTGTGTCAGTTTTGCTGTCTTCAGAACAATGGTATTAGGGATCTAATGTCTAATGCCAGCAAACAGAATGTACTGCCCTGTAGGCCACATGGAAAGGAGCCGGGTCATGTCCCTCCTAGAACTCATGGGCACAGATACCCTACACAAGCCACCAGCGGTGAGGTCTGTGTCCCTTTTCCCAGGCCCAAAGAATGGACTCAGAAGCAGGAAGAGCAGTGCAGTTGTGGATGTGAGCAGTGCAGGCAAAGCACACCCAGAGCAGGAATTTGTCTCCTAGTGCTCAGTCCCTTGCTGAGGTTCCTCATGGGCTGAGAACTATGGAGCCTGCAACCGAATGGCACTGCCAAAGGTTTGTTTCTCCCTGTATATGCGGTTCCTTGGTGCCCCTGAAAACCCAAGTTTGGACTTCTTCATAATGTTGTTTGTTTTTACTCCAGGACCTTTTGAGAAGCAGATGTTCATGCTTATATATTTCACGTGACCTTATGATTAGTGTATTTCTGTTCAGCCCCAGCTGTTTTGATTACATCTTCCAACAAAGGCTTTTTGAATAGTAGATTTCTTCTGTGAGGCCCATTAGTTCAGACACTTTCTAAACTCATGAACTTAGCAGTCCTGCAGGAAGTTTTTTCTGCCAGGAATTCACCACTCAGAGTTCACCCATATTTTGCCTTCAAAATTGACAACTTAAACTTCTTTTTCTTCCATGTAGCACAGAAAATTTAAAAATGAAATGAAAGAGAAATGAAATTAAATGTCCAAATTACTACAGAATTAATATAATGTGAAGACCAGACAATGATTATAAAAATTACTGTCTGCATTGAATGGATGAATGCCCTGATTGATGAGGATACTGTAGTGTTTTTTAGTATATAATATCTCCAGTGAAATGCTTTTTTGCCCTTCACTACTGCTTGTTCCTATGAACAAAATGATCCCTGTGTGGCACTGAGACTCCATTTTGCATGCAGTGCCTCAGATTACTTCCTCCCTAATAAGGGTTCTGAGTACACTGCAGGTACATTGTGATTAGTAATGAAATGGTTTTGGAAATGGTAGTAAGTAGACTTCAAGGTATTTGACTTTCAAGATGAGTTCAGAAGACTTGGGCTTCCATCTTGTTCCTGCTCCTCCTTACGTCTTATGGTCCCCAGTAGGGAGAGCTGTATCTGCCAACAGGAAGACTCTCATCCCCACTGGGACCCAGAAATGACTTGAAGCCTTGAATCACCTCAGGACTAAACAGAACCACCAAGTTACAGAGCTAATGCTACACCTCAGCAACTGGAGGAAAATGTTGGCACATGTTACAGTAGATATCGACCATGTAGTTAGAGTGAGGAGTGGCCTAGCCAATGGGGAGTGAGAAACTGGCTCATTTGCATGGCTGCCAAGCAACACTTGTGTTGTCACTGGCATGAGGTTCCTCAACTGCCAGAGTCTTCTTAACAGCGACTGTCGGTCTCAGAGGCTGAGGGTCTGTTGAGGTGAGCACAACTCTTTCTAGTTTCTCTTTTATATCCACAAAAGTGAATAAGTCAAACCAATCCTGGCTCTTGATTTATCTTAGTGAACTAACATACTTTTAATGGTGATTTCTGGTGGTTACTGATGACGAGAGTTGAGGGCTCCCATTTGAGCATCGAGACTTACACCTTGTTTTTGAGGCCTCAATATCTGTATAGTGAGAGTATGCATTTTATGACATTTTGTCCTCTTTTAAACATTTAAAACTTTTCCTTGGTTGTGGGAGCTACTGAGGATTAATCCTAGAGGCATTCTTTCCCTGAGCTATGCAGCCAGCGCTGCTTCTGTTTGACAAAGAGGTGGGGTCTCCCAATGTCCTTCCCAGGCTGGTCAAGAACTTGCCACTCTCCTGCCTGTGCCTCTGGAATAGCTCAGAGAACACATGTGGGACACCATCCCCAGCTTGAGATAATTTTACATAAGGTGGAAAAACCATAAGGTAAAATACTTTGATAAATCTTTCACAAGGGTTAGTAAGGTGAAAAGCCTCCAAAGGAGATAGAGGTAGTAGTTCAGGGGTTCAAGAACTAGGGGTTCAGGTTAATCCTTTGCTTCACAGTGAGTTCTGGGCATTCTGGACTGTGTACTGAACCCCTGTCTCCTAAAACATATTTTATCCTTATAAATAAACTAGAAATTTAGTCCTTCTACCTAGTAACCAGCATTTTACATGGAATGTTACAGAGTACTTCGGGTGAAAATATGCAGATGCATATTTGAAAATGTCTGGGCTGTAACTTAGTGCTTCTCAGTGTCCAGCAGGTGTGAATGTGTGATGTGTAATGTAGCCCTAGACCATGGTCAGGTCCCATTTGGTTTCTTCTGTAAAGTTCCCTTGTTTTATACTACAGTACAGAGTCCTACTAAATTTTCTTTTTATTTTCTTTTCCTTTGTATTCTGGGACTGGGTCTCACTGTGTACTGACTGGCCTTGGACTCACTATGTAGTGTAGCCTGGCCTTAAGCTCATGACCATCCTCCTGCCTCTTCTTCCTGACTACTGGGATTGCAGGATGTCATGTTTAAAATTCCTTTCAAAATTCTCTTTAGCCTTCCCTGAGGAGGTTTTGTGTTCATATCTCATAATCTTTACACCTTAATAATGAATTTAATTTCTGGAAGTGTTTAAATACCATGTATAAGAGTGGATGATCAATAAATGAAGACATTTTAAGGGGCTGGGATTTAGCTCAGTGGCATATGCGCCTGCCTTGTAAGTGGGCAGTCGTGATTTCAATCCCCGGTACTGATAAAGAGGAAAAAAAACAAAACAAAAAAAAAATGATGTCATTTTAAGGCAACCCTTAAAATTCAATTTTACTATAAAAACACATAGATAGTTCTTTTGTGACTACATTCCTCCAGCCCCTCTGTGACTTGTCAATCCCTAAGACCCCTTTTCTTCCCTCTGCACTGAAGGCAGCTTCATGTATATTAGTCTAGCATGTATTGTATTAATGTCCATCCATGTGTTCATCTTGTATCCATTTAAATACGCACATACCACAGTAAAGCAGGAGATTTAATGGTTTTGTTGCCATATAAAAAATTTCTTACATTTTCATTGTATCTTTAGTTTGTGGTCCACATGAAAATGTATTTTGAGTAAAGTCTGATAATATAACATGATGTAACATAATTCTCCAAATCTGATATTCTGTGGTCAGTTTAGCATCTTCACCACTGAATCATAGCAGGTCTCTTTATTAATGTAAAAAACTCAAAAGGTAACATAGGTACTCAGTGTAATTTCACAAGGAATAGTAGTAAATGCACTAGTAGCTAACCTGCACTGCTCTCTTTCCATACAGGAGTAACCTATCTTGACCCAAGGCATAGTTCTTGCCTGACGGCCTCTCTTACTGGTAACTTCTGTTTTCTCAGCTACTGAGGTGAGTTAGTTCCACATTGACCAACATCTCCCCACAGCACCTGGGGGCTCATTCTAGCAGGATCTGTACTCTGCTCCTTCGACATTTTTCAGGGCTGAGCCTATTTACCTAGGAAATCCTTCCACCCACTCCAAGTACTGAAAAGAACTTACACTTTGACACTAATTGCTACACTGTGTGAAATCTACTTCACATTTATCTTGTACAAGTGAAATACTGTATTAGAGGTGCCTACTGCATTGTTCTGTGCAGAACAGAAAAGGGCGTGTCCAAAACACCGAGGAGAGGGGCCGGGGAAACCCTCATCTGTCCAGTGTTAGCTGGCACGCATATCTTTTGCTAATGACCATCCTTCACTTTTGCTCCTAGGAGGTGACTGCTGCCATACCACTGACCAACAGCCAATCCTAGGTCAGAGGGTCTGTGAGCCTGGTGGTCAGGGCCCTGCGGGGCCACCCCCTTGAGTCTCCCTGTAGAGGGAGGTTCTCGTGGAGGTGCAGATTTTGTCGTCAACTCCTGAAGGTGAGTCGGACGCTTGGCTTAGCTTTTCCCCTGTGTTCTTATCACTGCAGTCTGTGGCACCTGCAGCGTTCTACCAGTGTAGAGGTTGGAGACAGGATGAGAAGGAGTCTGCAGGTCTAGGAGGGGACAAGAAAGAGTCTTGGAAGGGAGACTTTTGATACTTACAGGTCTCAGAGAGGAGATTACCCGTGCCAAGGATGACCAAGGGGAAGTATCAATCAGTGGGGAAAAGCCTTGGTGAATGGGATCGAATGCATTCAAAAGAAGGAAATGATAGCTAACTTAACAGTGGGACTGGGTCTTCTTTATAGAGTATACTCCTCTAACCAAACCGTGGTTTTCCCCTGAAGGGGACAGAGCCAGTTATCTCTCTGTGACAGCTTTCCATTGCTCAGCTCCTGACATGAACTGGACCCATTGCCCCCTACCCCCTGCCACAGCACCTGGAGTTGCACCACCCAGAACTGCACACACCCAGCCCCTTAACCATATCCAGGGCTGAGTCCATTTTCTTAGAAAATCCTTCCCTGTGAAGAATGTGTGTTGTAAGTATACCGAGCGTTGGATTTTGAGCCATGCAATTCACCTGTAGCTTGTGAAATAGTAGGCAGTCATGGCATGACTCCATAGTCCTGTGGAGAGTAGTCAATGGCCTGTCTGAACATTGAGGAGGGTGGTAGTCGTCTCTCAAGTGTTAGCTGGCATAAATGACTCTTCCCAGTGACAGTTCCCCATCTTTGCTACTAGGAATTTCTGTTGCCATCACCACTGATGGATACCTACTCTTAGGTCAGAGATCTTCTGATCTAACTGAGCAGGGTCCCCTCAGTGCCTTCATCCCTGGAATTCTTTGGAATCTGCAGGTTTTTTCACTAACTTCTTGGGTCAGTGACTTGGCTTCTCTCCCTCTTCTCTCAAGCCTAGCTCCATGAAATCTACAGTGTTCTAAGAGTCTAACCATACAGATAGGATCAGGAGAGATTGTGTTTCATTAAGATGAGACAAGAATGAGCATTGAGAGGAAGACATTTCTGTAACACATGGTGTCAGACAGGAGGTTCCACATACCAGGCTGAAACAAGCAGAAGCACCTGGTGTGTGTTACATGACAGAAGATGTGAATGTGGGGAACCTGAATCACTTTTATGGGATTCTGGAGGAGTTAGAAGTCAGGGAAGATCAGGGAGCTACATATGGAAGGCTGCAATAATTTCACTGGGCTTTGGGTGTTGGACAGTCTCTAGATGTTTGCACCTGGGCCCGGGTGTTTTAGAGCAGAGTAAATATTAGAGAAATAGGTAGATAAATAAGTCATTGAGATCAGACACAGGGTTGGTTTTTATAGGAAACTCGTGTTTTGAGTGGGCCTTTACTAGCCAGAAATCAGCTTCGCAGAGGAGAGAGAATTTCTCCCAGGCGAACACATTGCTGGAGATGTCTAAACAACATAAAGATGGAAACTAATGATCACCATTGACACACTCAAGCCCAGAGATGGCTCACTTTGACTTCTTTCTTGATCTTCACATGGATTTGCCCCCTGTGGTCCTGTGTCCAATTTCCCTTCCCCTTGGAAAAAACCATCACTGGATTAGAGCCTGCCTTAAAGATATTTTGACTTGGTTGTCATCAGGTAAAAGAGCTACAGAGTAAATGCTGAGGAGCCGCCATAGGAATCAGCCAGCTGCGGGGAGGGGAGGACAAGCTTTGAGGAGAGCTTTCTATCTCAACCTTAGGGGAAAGGAGTAGTGCAGGAAAGTGTCCCAGGGAGGGGAATACCTTTTTTAAACTGGGGATCAATCTGAGGACAGAATTTTTGCAAGGCAGGCGCTTATGCTGCTTAGTTAAATCCCTGGTTAGAAAAGATAAATTGGAAACCGAGTAGAAATGTTTATGAGCTGGTGGCTGAAGGACAGGAAGGAAAGCAGGTAAGAAAGAGTAGCATGTGCATGGTCCATGGAGAGCTGGGACTAAATAGGGACTCAGTATGGTGGGAACGTACCCTGGGAAGCATCGGAGGTTACCACCAGCTCAGAGTGTTAGGAGAAGGCGTGGTTACTAGCTCTGAGTGTTAGGAGTAGGCGCTGTGCGTGGCTGCAAGGGCACTCCTGAAGGGTTTTCTGTGGGTAACAGCACACCTGGATTTGGCTGCTGGGCAATTATTGAGGCATCACTAAAAGTGCTCTGTTGCATAGGTGGTCGAGCTAGGAGGAGGCCTGGTTGCTCCTGTTCTCAGTTGCTGACTGATTTGTGCTATAATCACCTCACTATAGATCCTGTGGATTATTGTCTGCTCTTTGTGGTTTCCTATGAAAGTTAATGTTTGTCCATCAATTATTGCAATGCTAGCTGAGTAATACTCAGTAACTTTTACACCGTATCAGAGAGAAAACTGCAATGAAGTACTTTGGAACATGTATTTGTGTTGAAATTTGATTCAGAGACAAACATGTGTGTTTGAAAGATAAGACTTTCGAGAATCATCATTTCTTTAGACTGCTATGCTTTTCATGTAATGCTGCTTTGTCCTTTATTTTGACACAGGGTCTTGCTACCTAGTCCAGGCTGGCCTTGAACTCCTTATGAAGCTCAGGGTGGCTTCAGACTTGAGATTTTCCTGACCCAACTTCCTTGTGGCTTCTATTATTGATGTGCACCATCACGCCCTGTTCTGTTTTTTTTTGTTTTTTTTTTTTTTTTTTGTCTTTTTTCATTTTTATCGGTACTGGGGATCGAACTCACAACCGCCTGCTTGCAAGGCAGGTGCTTATGCCGCTGAGCTAAATCCTCAGCCCACGCCCTGTTCTTAAGCTGGAATTTAATTTCAGAAGCAATGTTCATTTTCCTCTTCATGTAGTCAAGACATTTTTCTTCAAAATTATAAGTAAACTTATAATGTTGAGGCTGAGGATATTGTTCAGTGGTTGAGTGAGACCCTAGGTTTAATCTCTAGGGCTTGGGAAAAAGAAAAGAAGAGAGAAAGTACTAGTCTTTTTATACTTGGATAATTTGTTTGAAACTAATATAAAATGGCTAGAAAATATTCAAAAATCTAATGTCAAGGGTGAGTACAATACATTTACTTTAGGAGAGAAATGTACGCTTTTAGACTTTTGCAGAGTTGAGCGATGACCTTTGTGGACAGAGCTGACTCTTCAGACTCGTCGGACCATTGGAATCAGCGCGGCCATTCTGCAGCAGCCAGCACTGCAGACCTGGGTGCAGGCTCTGCTGACCAGAGCGCTGAGTCTTCATCACTGAGTGATGTTTCCATTCACACACTTTCTTTAGGACCGGTACTGGGTGCTGTTTATTCAGAGTCCACTGTTGCTGGTAAGTCAGAGCTATCACCACCAAAGGACCAAGGAAGTTACTGTTTGCTAAAAATATTGAAAAATCACTTCCAGAAACTTTTGTATAAATGCCGCAGGCAGTTGGTAGTTTCAGAGAGTCTCTTGTTGTGTGAGAGAGATTCCCACATGGATGACTAGCATTCGAAGGTAGAAATTATTTTCCTCTAACATGTAAGCATTCCTTATTAGCATAGGTATCACAGCAAGGTACTAATTTTAGTTATTCAGATATGTATCATTGGTTTTATTCCTAATTTTTAAAGGGTAAACTATGTTCAGGAGAGCGGAGGTGAGTAAGTTTTCTTATGTTTTCAGTTAACCAGTAGTTATTACGCTCCCTAGGTAGGTACAGTGTCTTTCTTTGGAAAAGAGCAGATAAGTTAAACACAGTTATGTTTGTTAAAATTTATCCAGATAATGAAACATTGGCTCTTTCAATGGGTACTTTTCAGCCTGAAAGCCCTGACAGTTTGAAATGCAAAGAAAAGCAACAGTAGAATTAGTTCATAATTGGAATGTTGTCCAGCTTAGGATAATTTGATCCTTGTCTTGTTTAGAGTCCTCTAGTAACCTTGATATTGTGGTGTGGGGATGTGTGCTGTGGTTTGTTCAAGGTGTTCTGACTGTGTACGAGGGGAGGCTTACAACTCAGAAGACAACTTAATCTGAAGTTAAACGTAGAACTTCAAGGCCTTGAGCTTTGCCATCAAGACTTTCCCACAGGACATTTTTCTGCAAGGCTTTCACACTTGTCATATTGCTGGGGCTTCCCTTTCTCTCTTCACACTCCCCCTTTTTAGGACCCTTATGTTGTTCTCAACAGACTCGTTTTTCCTTTCCGAATTTTGTTCTCTATTCCCTCTCAAGCCATGGCCTACTTAAATAATCATTAACATCACTTCAGGTAGAGAGCAACCTCTAGGCCATCTTTGCCTTCATTAGCACTGAGAAACCAGTTATCCTGGTGATTTTGAATTTTCCTAGTGTGGTAAGTTGTTTCTTTGTCATAGCAACCTTCAGAATTAAAACATGAGATTCCAGGGAAGGCTCAGTGACATGATGGTAGGAATGGTGGTGGCACGGAATGCAAGCATCCAAGACCAGTGTCCCAGGGTGTTGGTGTATCTTGTGTATTGTACTGATTGTGTTAAGCAGCGATAAAAAGTCATTCTAATGAACTGTCATGAAGTTTTCTCCCAGTTTTGACATTTATTAACGTATGGCCAACTCACCCGCTGACCCTGTATGCAGTATTGTAAAGAAGTCCAATATGGGGCCAGGGATTTAGCTTAGGGGCATAGTCGCCTGCCTGGGAAGCACAAAGTCAAGTGTTCAGTCCCCAATACTGAAACCAAAAGTCCAATATTTCATATTTAATTTATAACAGTTTTAGTTTGTATACACATAGGATTATTTTTAAGAAATAATAATAATTTTAAAAATCTAGTTAATTTGTTTTCAGTACTAGATTACCACGGATTATACCTGGGAAGTCCTGAGGTATTTTTATTTTTATTTTTACTTTATTTTCAGACAGGATCTTGCTAACTCAATAAAATGTCCACACTGGCCTAAAACTTGCAATCCTCCTGCTTCACTCTCTTGAGTAGCTGGAGTTACAGGGGTGCACTATCATGCAGAGCTGCAGAGTTTGTTTTCAGTACTCAGTCACTGAAAGCAACATCCTCGTGGAGTCTGCACTTTGCATGTGTGGGTATGTCTATGAAATGTCTTCTAATTGGGAAGTGTACCCATTTCTTGTGTTTTTAATTTATTTATTGAAGCAATTAAATCGTTTAGCTTCTCATTTTCTAGGTTGCGTCTTTTTAAAGTATCCCTGTTTGCCTTGAAATGAGATTTAGAAGTTTGATAAGGAATCACTATTTCTTTGAGTTTAGAAGCATGCCAATTTTGTTTTATAATGTTTGCTGTTTGTTGCTGTATCCCTAGGTGATGGCATTCCTCCACCACAGAAAATTCTTTTTCCGCCAGAGAAGATTTGTCTTAAGTGGCAGCAAAGTCACAGAGTTGGCGCTGGGCTTCAGAATCTGGGTAACACCTGTTTTGTCAATGCGGCCCTGCAGTGTTTGACGTACACGCCACCTCTCGCCAATTACATGTTATCACGTGAACACACCAAGACATGTAAGTGCTGTATGCTGTGGTGTTATGTGAATGTGGCATGCTAAGCTAGTCATTTTTTCCTCAGAAATGAGATGGATTAAGTTGTTATGTAATCAATAAGAAGTTGGTAGGGCTCGGGATTTAGCTCAGTGGTACTGAGTTCAATCCCTAGAGTGCCAAAAAACAAAACAAAACAAACAAAAAAAAGAGTTGGTTTATCCTTTAGAGTCTAGGATTTTTAGTTAGGCCACATAAGAAGCATTTTGTATGTGATTTGAGCTGGGTTGGGTGTTTATTTATTTTAGTACTGGGAATCAAACTTAGGACCTTGTGCTTGTCAGCCAGGTGCTTATGCCTCTGAACTATAACTATCGTCCATGGGGATGGTGTTCAGAAAAACCTTATTTTATCATTACTTGGCTTTTCTAATCTCCTCTGAAGTTTTCTACACTTGTAAAAATGTTTTTGTTTCTCTTGTGCTGGGGATCAGCATGTCAGGCAGATGCTCTACCCCTGAGCTCCACCTCTAGCTCTTCCCTTAGTTGGCAATGTCACCCACTGTCTGACATTAACAGTTGGGGCAAAGGATCAGATCCTGCCACTCTGCCATTCACTGGAAAGCTTCATGCATCTTCAGGCAAAGAGAAGACCTTTCACCACTGCCCCAGTCTAGTGGAGTTTACACAGAGCTTTCCTCTTAGCATTTGAGGGCTCCATCATTACACTACAGGGCAGAAAAATCAGTTACAATGGGCGAATTGTGGTAGTTACTTTTTTGAGAAATCGATCCATTTCTTCTAAATTTATGTGTGAAAATTTCTATAGTATTTATTATCCTTTCAATGTTTTAAGGCTTGTGTTATAATAGTATCCCCAGTTTCATTCCTGATTTTAGTAATTGTTGTAAATTCCCCTCAGCCTGGTTTTGTGCCCCCCAGTTTATTTTTATTCCACGTAGTGTATGTTTCCACTTCCCTTTATTTATTCTTTGATTTGTGGATGAAATGTCTTCAGTTTCCAGTTACGTGGAGATGATCTTTCTTTTCGTGATGTTTAGTATTGATTCCATTGTGATTGGAGAAGACTTAAGTTTTCTGATTTCTCTAAAACAAAGTCTGTTCTTCGTGGATGCAGTGTTCTGTAAATGGTTATTGATTTGGTGTCGTGACTGAGAATATTGTTGAATTTTTCAGTATGCTTTGTGATTTTCTGTTGAATTATTCAGGGAGTCACTGACAGGAAGATGTTGAGGTTTCCATCTCTAAATGTAGGTGTTCCTCTGTCACCTCTCACGTTTGAGTTTGATTCATGCAGTTTTCAGCAGTGTTGTTTGTATAAACACATATAAAATTGGTCTTTGTCTCTATCTCTGTCTCAGAATGGGCTTGAATTTGTAATTCTCCTGCCTCAGCTTCCCAGTTCACTGGAATCACAGGCATGTGCAACCACATCTTGCAGGATTGCTGTTGTCTCAATGCATTGCTACATAAATAGAGAAAGCATTATTTGTGTAAAATATGAATTGCCCTCTGTTTCTCCATTGTGTCTATTTGTGTCAGTATTTATTTATTTATTCAGTGTTGGATATTGAATCCAGTGCTTTTGGTCTGTAGTCCATCTTTATCTGATAGTAACATAGACATTTTTGAGTAATAGAGACATACTGTTTCTTTTCCACCCTTTGATCCTTAGCTTACCTGTAGCATGACATTTGAGTTTGGTGAGTTATAGACAGCATGTGGTAGATCATATGTTTTTAAATCTTTGACTGTTTTGTCAATCTGTGCCATTTCTTTATTTGTTAATTTAATTTTTAAGTTGAACCCACAGCCTTTGCACTAAGCTATATACCCAGCCTGCTTTTCACTTTTTATTTTGAAACAGGGTCTTGCTAAATTTTCTAGGCTTGTCGCAGATTTGTGGTCCTTCTGGTGCAGCCACCCAGAGTCCTGAAATTACATGTGTGCATACCGCGCATGTCTAATTAACCAGTTTATGTAGACATTAGAGTTAATATGATCACTGGTACACCAAGGCTCAGTGTGCCACTTTATGTTCTGTTTTATTATTTGTTCTCCTTTTCTTTTCCTTCCTTTCTTCTTCTCTTTTGTTCTGTTTCGGTTACTTGACAATTTTTAGAATTCCATTTTTATTTACATGGTTTTTTAGAGTATATCTGCTTCTGCTACTCTATGTATGACCATATATATATATATATATATATAAAATACATAATTTATTGGTCTTCTGGTATTATCATGTTATGAGCTTGAGTGTTATTTAGAAACATTGTCTCTTTTTGTCCCTTTTACTTTCTCTTATGTTATAGTTGTTTTAAATATATTTCCTACTTACACTTAGAGTCAGGTCAGGAAGTTTTATAATTTTTGTTTGCGGAATTTTTTGTTCTTTATGAAGGATTTTTTATTTGAAACCTGGGGTTCTTCACATTACAATAGGGGGCTCCAGGTCCTCTGTAAGCTATGCTTTATCCAGCTTTCCTGACACTGCTCAGGCCCAGGAAGGGAGGGTAGGCTGAGGCCAAATCCAGGTTCTCCTTTCAGCTTCCATTGGCTGAGTGGGGCTTGGGGTCCCTGATGCTGTGAGGTGAGGGTGGGGAATTGTACCTCTGCAGGGTCCCCACTGATCCTGCCGTGGGAGTAGCTTTGAACTATTTAACCCTGAGGGGTAGGGTAAGAGGGGGCACCTATGTGTTACTGGCTGGGGATGGATGTGCAGGCTCATGGGGCTTCACCTGCATGTGAGGGGGGGGGACTAAACCCACTTTGAGGAAAGCTCCAGCTCCTAGTCCACTTCCCATAGATCTGTCCTGGGGAGTGGGCTGAGTGCCTCAGAGCCTGGCAAGTGAGTCCAGGCTCTGCACTTGGCATCTGCAGGTGATGGTAGAGGTGGAGTCATAGTTGCTCTGGATAATGTGCCTGGTCTTTTACATAATGTTCAGGTAGGAACAGCTTTAGGAGAGGCTTAAGAAAAATGCATTTTAGTTTATTTATGGGTCCTGAATACTGGAGGCTTGGCTTGCTGCATAGGGGTACCTGGGAAAGACACCGGAGTGGTCACGAGGTAGAAGACAGGAATGAGAGGGGAAAGCATTAGAGCAGAACATACACTGAGGTTTCCACAGGCAAGACAAAGCAGGGCAGGGTGAATCTTTGCACTGGCCCATTCGAATAGTTTCAGTGGGCTCCAAGCTGCAGGCAAGGTCCTTACTTGCCTTGGACCTCATCATGGGATGATTACTGCAGCATAATGCTGCCGCCTGTGTAGACAGGCCAGACAGAAAGGGGCATTTTTTGGACTGTTGAGTTTGCTGAGCAAGGGTACACTCCTGTCTGAGCCATTCCTTGTCTCTAGAAATTGGGAGAGGGAGGGTCTTCCTAGCCAGAAAGGATTTTAAAGGTGTGCCCAAAGACTATTATTTTTATCATAATATTTGGGGAGAAGGTGTACACACACACAGGAGATGGTTCAGAATGTTTTCTAAAGTTGTCTTCCCATTTATACAAGGCTAGGCTGTCTCTGCTCATTTGCTTGGATGGAACAGGCTTTGTTCTGTGCATTTGTTGGTGTTTTTCTGTTGGTGTCTACTTCAGCTCCAAGTCTGCAGTATTGGAGACACAAAGAAACCTAGAGAAACCACTATCATGGCTTGCCAGTGTCCCAAGGTCCCCAGTGTGTGTCTCTTTCTCTGTGCTTCTCAGAGTCTTTATGTATTCGTTAAAAACACATTTCCAATTCCAAGGATGTTTTTGTCGTCATATTTGGCAGGAAGAACAGGAGAAACTACTCCTGTTTCATATCCCCAGATGTGCAAATCTCACCTTTGTGAAAGATGTTGAAGTCTTATTATTATTTTTTAATACTTGAAAGATGTTATTGCATGAACTGAAGGACTGTGCTGTTTCTGACAAGAAGTCTGTCATCAGTTTCCCATTCTTCCTGTCTATATATGGAATGCTTTTTTTTCTAGTTGTTTTCAAGTCTTTATCACTTGTCTTGAGCAGTTCTACTTGGAGTTTCTTGAGGTTTTAAAAAATGTATACGTACTGTTTCCATGAAATTGGAACAACTTTTGGACTTTTAGAAAATAGCCAATACTTCCTAGAATAAAATAAACTTTTTGTGTGCAACGTTCTTTAAATTTAAACACATGTATCATATTTAGGTAAACCACCACCTCTTGTCTCTCAGAATATACAATCATTTCATGACTTGTACTTAAAAATGTTCCTTGTACTGTGCTTTTGTCGATAATTATTTCTTGATGTATTTGTTCCATTCCGTTACTTTCATACTTCAGTTAAGTGCATATCATGGGCAACTTGATACTGTCCCTCAGCTCACTGATACACTTCCCTTTTATTATAGTTATTTTAAGGTTTCTTTTCCCTCTTTGTGTGTTATTATGGATAGGAGTTAACCATTCTTCTGATTTGTTTACATGCCACCCCCCCCCAAACTTCATGCAGGAATGGAGGTGACTGAATCTAGCGTTTGTGATTGGTTCACTGTGCAGGGTGGGAATTGGTGGTGTGAGTGTTGAACCGACCAGTGGTGGGTAGCCAGCATACAATATAAGGGAGGGAAAGAGTCATGCCTCCCACTTTTGCTCTTTCATTCTTGTCGCTTGTGGCCACCACGAACAGCTGCTCCTCAGCCACACCACCCTGCTTTGGAGCCAGGTGAGTATGGACTGAAACCTCCAAAAAATGTATGCTAAATATACCTTTGTTTGCTTCACTTTGGGTGTCAGGTATTTTGTCTTAACAATGAGAGAAAAGTAACCAAGACAGCCAGTGTAATAGGCTACTTTCTATTCATAATGAGTGTCTTCAAATTCACTAATGTTTTGTTCTATAACGTCTAATTTGGTATTAATCCCCTTGAGTATATTTTCACCTAAGAAAGTCTATTTAAATGCTTTTGAGCTATACTATGGGGTGTAGAAAGCTAGAAATAATTTTGATCCTTTCAATGTTTTTAAAGCTTTATTTGATAAGTTCTGAACAGCTTTTGTGTAAATAGAATCTATTGTCTTTTGGGGCCAGATAATTTTTTCCTGTAAGGAGATATAGTGTTTTTTGTAGGATATTTAGTGTACCTGGCCTCTGACAGCTAGCTGCACATAAGAGCACATAGCATGAACTAGAAATCAGTTTTTTGTTTTTTTGTTTTTTTGGTTTTTTTTTTTTGTTTTACAATTGTTTTTTTCCTTTGAACTCATGACCGCCTGCTTGCAAGGCAGGTGCTTATGCTGCTGAGCTATATCTCCAGCCCCCTAGAAATCAGTTTTTAGCAATTTTATTTCAATTATTGATTTTTTGAAAGTAATGAAAGAAAACCATAAAATGGAACAAAACACAACAGTGAAAACAATATTGAATTTTCAATAAAAGACAGAAGGAGATCCCCCATAGTTCCTACAGTGTATATTGTCATCCTCTAAACAGATGCTCATCTTACTGGCTTTAGGCCTCCAAAGTATCAATCAACACAAACATTAGTTTGTTTTTGTACTTTGATTGCTATCATCTTGGCCTGTGTTCTTCTAAATCAATTGACTGCGCCCAAGGGGATGGTGAGTCTCTACTTGTCTCCTAGCCCACAGGGCAGCTGGCTCACAGCAAGGCATAGGGTGACTTCTTGGTTCTCCTCTCTGCCCATAGCTGCTTTTGGCTCATGGTAAGGGCAGGCAGACTTTATGGTTCTCTTCTTGGCCCATAATTTTGTTGTCTTTTTACATTTTAAAAGACTGAAAAGAAGAACATTTTGGGGCCACAATTTATGCTCAGGAAAGCAAGAACATTTATGTAGAAATTTCTAACTCCTGTTATGGCAGACATTCTTTCACCTTTTGAAACTCCTGGTAACACAGGAAAAAAATTCTTCTTTTACTTGTATAGAATCAGTCAGACCACAGCCTTTGAAACTAGGAAAAGTATGAGTTGTTTTGATTGTGTGACCTTGGAAAGACTTTTAACTCTCGGAACTTTTCCCATAGAGCCTATCTATACTTAGTATTTGGGTTCTTTAGAGAATTAAATGGACTAAATGTAGACAGGTCGATGCAAACACATAGCAGCTTCTACTTTTATTTTACCTCAGGAATGTGCTCTTCAAGTATGATTTACTGTCCAGTCACATTTTGCTAATATGAGGCATTGCTATCTATCTTTCAGGCCATGCAGGAGGATTTTGTGTGATGTGTATAATGCAGGCACATATTATCCAGGCACTCAGTCATCCTGGGGATGCTATTAAGCCCATCGCTGTGATCAGTGAACTGCAGGGTAAGTATCAATCGCGGAAGTATTTCTTGGCAATTAGTGTTTTCCTGAGATGAGGGCTGATATCACTAGTCCAGTGAATGGCACACATCAGCCTCCCAGGTAGCTAGCACTACAGATATGCACAGTCATGCCTGACTTTTAGTTAGTAATAGTGGCCTAGATGACTTTTAAAAAGTCAAAAGTTTATAACAAAACAAACAACATGTCTTTCATTGTATATGGTTATCTCTTTAATTAGTAGTGCATGTTTTGTAATAATTTTACTATATAAACTATTTAAAAAATATAAATATAATAAAAATACAATGCTGACCTTAGTTTAATATCATCAAATTTTACATGATATAAAACTCAGCTTGTTAATAAAATCATTTATAGAAGCCATTTCTCAGTTGGATTTCTGTGCTGAGTAGTCTCTGCTACTTGCCCACAAATTTCTTTAAATGGTTTGTAATTGATTTTAATTTGGTAAATTAATCCTGTTTTATACGAGGTGACAAGAACTGTCAAAATAAAGATAGTCCCAGTTGGCCAGGGAGTTAGCTCATTAGCCTAGGATTACAGGCTCATACCAACACACCAGGCTCTGTGTACTTTTTAAATTAACCTTTCTGTCTTTGTAATTAGTTAAGTTGTAATAAAATGCATAGAAATAAAAAAAAACTCTTGGCTCTTAATCTGTCATCTAGCTTGGTAATTATAGGGATGCATAACCATGGAATGGTTAACTGTAATCATTTGCCTTAAAAGGTGCTAAACATTAGATATTAAAAAGGGATTTGGCATTATTGGTGATGCAGATTGAACAGTACAGAAATCTTTAGATCATACTGGAGTCTGGTACAATTTAGGTAGGACCGATTTTTATCAATTGATAAGCTATCAATGAACACTCAAATTTAAAAAGACAATCTTTAAGGTAAAAACATAAAAAGAATACGGATTGCTGTGTTGAATATCTTCTCCTCCTGCTGCTCCTCCTTGTTTTTGTCCTTGTCCTTCTCTTCCTTCTCTTCCTCCTCCTCCTTTTCCTTCTCTTCTCCTTTTTGTACACGCAGGCAAATTTTTTACAACTGAGCTAAATCCCAAGCCCACTTCTCTTATTTTTCTATGTCATTCACTTCCAAGACAATTCTGTACCTTCACCATATTTACAATTCTGTCCAATCACTCGCAAACTTTTCTCTGAAGAATTGCTTCTTACTTAACTTGCCCCACTACACTCTTCCACATGTAGCATCGAAATGGTAGAGAATATATTGGGGCTTTGGAGACAGCTCAGTGATAGAGCACTGGTCTAGCATGTGCCATGCCAGAACAGCTTTTGTTTGATTATTTATATATTTACTTTTAGCAGGTATAAGTAACAACTGTTAGTCTTTAGAAAAGTGTCATTGTCCTGAATGTGTTCATTTGTATACAAATACAGTAGAATCGTGGAATTGCTATTTTTGTCAGTCAAACTGGTGAAATAGTAGCAATTTTACATGATTTCAGTTGGAGGATATTTCTATATTTTCATACATATGCAAAACTCAGGGTATAATAGATTTTCTGTTATTCGTATATTTGTGCTGATGTCTTCTTTATAATTTGAAAATCATAAATCATTTTTGCAACTGTTTAGTCATCGAGAACGACTGAAATGAGAATATAACTTGTTCTTGGTCATTGGTACAGGATATACGTTGAATATGTGTGTCCTGCATCGGGTCTCTTATGGATTCGAGTGTCATATTCACAATGGGTGCACTCACCTCACATTTTGGATGAACTTGAGTCAATAGAACTGAGGTTGACTTTATTCAAATGAATTGTGTCAACTTGGTAAAGACACGAGACTCACCGTGTGGCTGCTCCTGGACTCTCAGGAACTGCTGATACTGTGGGCTTTGGTGAGAGTGCGTAGTGTTTGTGTGAGTGCTGCTTTCTTATTCAGTACGATGTCTGGCAGTTTCTAAGGAACATAAAGTGTAACTTTGAAGCCTAGGCATTTAATATGTAATGATAAAGGCTTGTCTTAATATTTCTAGGTATAGCTAGTCACTTCCGGTTTGGAAACCAAGAAGATGCTCACGAATTTCTTCAGTACACTCTTGATGCTATGCAGGAAGCGTGCTTACAGGGCAGCTATGAGTGAGTGCAAGTCATTTCTTCGGGTTACATCTCTGGCTTATCACACGTATTTTGCCTTTTATGTTGGAAACTTTACTTTTTGGCTTTACATTGCCCGTTCCCCACCTGATTTGCATAATTTACCATGTCTAAAATTTAAAAAGATGTGCTTACCATCACAATTTAAAGGTGATAAATTCTAGGTGTTAGTAAATGAATACTGTTTTTGCTATTACTTAACTTCCGAGTGCCAGCATGCTTTGGCCATCTAAAAGTATTTGCTTCTTTCTAATTGAGCCAGACATTTTCTCTGTTGACCTACAGCCTTATAAATATGTTTCCTGCCTCTTTTCTCTGTTTCTCCCTCTCTGTTAGTTACCAGTTCCTCTAGCTTCTTCCTGAAATCTAAATGCAGACTCAAGAGAGAGATGGGCCAGACAGTTATGTAACGTTCCTAACCCCCCTGCCCCTGTCCACACCCCTGGTACCGGTACCTCCCTGTGCATTCCACTCACTGTCCAGGCCTGCGTGGTCTGGATGATGGCAGACTCTGCTTCCCTCCCTGCTTCACATCCCACACCGGGTGACGAGGCCGCTGGGACTGCCTGCCTCTTGCTGGTTTGCTTCTGAATCTAATTTCTGGCTTGATTTCAAAGTCCCTTCACGATTTAGTTCCTTCCATCCTCTTCTCCAGATACTTACTGTGTTCCACCAGGCGGGTCTGATCTCTGGGTACCATGTAGACTAATTTTTAAATTGTTCCCTTTTGTACATGCTTGTTGTTTTATAAATATGCACCCTTTAATGTCTAGTCATAGCACCTATAATTTAGCACAATTCTTAAATCACTGTTTTGTCTTTTTCAGATTAGATAGACACACTCAGGCCACCACCCTCATTTATCAGATATTTGGAGGCTATCTAAGATCAAGAGGTAAGATTGTATTCACAAGTCCATGAAGTGACACAGGCATGTGGTATTAGAATGCCAATAATTGAAATAAGGGAAAATAGACTCCTTCCTCTTCAGTGGCTGCCCCTATGTCAGTTTCTACTATGTTCTTCTGGTAGTTCCTTATTCATGAGGAACTGAGAGGCAATTACAGAATATTTTGTGTTTGTCTTAACTTTAGTAGTAACGGATTCCTTCATACCTGCCATAGTGGTCATTTATTTTATTCTCCTTTGGATGGTTACTTAGGTTTCTATTCTGTATCACCAGTGCATTACTTGACAGCACTCATGCTTTATGTGTGTCTTACTATCTTCTCATTTTTGAGCAAAATACCTGAGATCTAAAGTTAAAGGGGAAGAGATTTATGTAGCTCATAATTTGTAGATGTTTCAGTCCATTATCAGCTGGCAACAAAGCTGAGTGGCACAGCAGGGAGGCAACAGTTCATGGTGGCAGAAGAGGGCAAAAGAAGCAAGAGCAGAAAGACTGGGGGGAGCAAGCTTCTCTGTATTGTATGCAAACTACCTGCCCTAGGGCAAGTGTAGGTAGCTTCAGACCATGTCTTGCACAGGCTGAGGATGTTTGCAAAGTGAGGATGATGGACCCTGCTAGATTATTAGTTAATATTTTAAACTTCTCAAGTTGATCCAAAGGATTGACAATTATAGCATCCTAGTGTGTAAGCAACTGCACTAGGGCATGTCCTCTACACTGTGGGATGCATATCTGCTGAGTTGCTTAGTGAAGCTCGGAAACTTGTCAAGGTGACCCAATGTATCAACCATTACAATGTATAAGTAAAAGTGCATGTGATAAATTCTTAGTAGTATTATTTGAGTCATAAGTTATATTTTAAATTTTAATATTGGCATTTTGTCATTCTAAGAGGTCATACAAGTTTATATTTCAGCCAGTAGTATACTAAGGTCCAAATTCATGAGTCTTTTTCATACACTGTGGATAAGATTAACTAGTCTGCCAATCTAGCAGAAGAAAAATTATACTGTTTTAATTATCTTTCATTTTAAATTGTTTGTATGGAAACAGCTGAGACTGCCATATTGATTATACTTTGATTATCTTTTTCACTTTATTTTTATTTCAGTGAAATGTTTAAATTGCAGAGGCGTTTCAGACACTTTTGATCTGTATCTTGATGTTACATTGGAGATACAGGTAAATCTCATACTTTTTGTGGTGGTCAAGTTGTAAATCTTTATTACTCTTTGACTTTTCACTTAGTAAGTGTTAATCAATCTGGTTTTGATCTTGCAATGGCAAACTTTAATTGGGGTGGGGGTAATCATCCTAATGGGAAAAGTTTTTTTTTTTTTTTTGTGGCCTTGGAAGTTAATCCCAAGGCCCTCTAGCCCTTAGTCAGTTTCCCAGTCTATTTTAAAAATCATTTTGAGGTTGAATCTGAATTGATCAAGCAGGACCAAATCTTACAATCCTCCGCCTTCAATCTCCAAAGTAGCTGACAACACAGCCACACCATGCCCATAGAAACAATAATTCCCCCATTAAATGCTGCATTAATTTTCTGTGTCTTCTGCTTCCTTGCTTGCTCTCTCTGTCTCTCACACAAGCCACCGGCAGTGTGGGAAGATGTGGCATTGATGCTTTTTCCTCCCAGGATGTTCGCAGTGTTAACGAGGCATTGGCTCAGTTTGTGAAGCCAGAACAGCTAGAAGGAGAGAACTGCTACAAGTGTAGCAAGTATGATGGGGTGGTGTGTGGCTGGCAGTCCCTCATTTGGCCACTCCAGTTGAATCTTTAGAGTATTTCAGAGAAATAATGAGTAGAATTCTAGAACACCAAAAAAAAAAAACCATCCATACATTAGACATCTTAATCCCTTTTTTCTCTTGACTTCAAGGTGTAACAGTATGGTTCCAGCTTCAAAGAGCCTTTCTATACACAGACCATCTAATGTTCTCACACTGTCTCTGAAACGCTTCTCTAATTGTACCGGTAGTAAAATTGCCAAGGTATGTAGATAATGTTATTAACATTTTATGTGGAGCCAAGATTTAAGTGCCAGCAGCTTTTCAGGGTTACAAATGACCTCACTGCACACTTTTGATGATTTACTTTCTACAGTTTTCTTGCACTGGATAGCAGGGGAATAAATCAAAGAATTGAGTAAAGGGTTTGGTTTGTGTGCTTAAGATTATGTGTGTCTTTACTATACTCTTGAGGTCAAGCCTGCTGAGAAAATTGGTGACTCTTATCTGTATTAGGCATCCATAGTCAATTCTTTGATATCCATGGTAATGAAAGTACACAGGTAGAGTTTGTATAATCTGAAAGTCCAAAGAAGTCTTTCTCACTAGATCGTCCCTCTCTTTCATCCAAGTTTATGTTCTTGTTTTCTGATTTTTCACTTATATTCAATTTTCCTATTTTCTTTCCACTTGCTAAAGTTTGAAAGTGGTCAAAAATTCATGTCCAAGGCTGACCATGGTGCACTCAGGAAGTTAAAGCAGGAAGATTAGGAGTTTGGGACCAGATTGAATGATATAGCAAGTTTAAAGCCATCCTGGCTTACAGAGTGAAGTCTTATTTCAACAAACAAACAAAATTGCAATGAAATACACGAGAAATAACTAACGTATTCTTTAATTATTTGAAGGAGTCTGGAATAGAGTCACATGTCAGCACTAGGGAATCTGAGGCAGGAGAGGTTTTGCAAGTTCAAGATCAGCCTAGGGTTGAGGCCAGTGTGATCTACAGATTAAGATCTTGTGTCAACAAAGCTACTTACTTACTTAATTAATTAATTAAAACTAAAATAATTGGTATTGAATGCCCAGAGTTGTCATTTTGTGACTATCACCTATCATGTTTTTGGGGAATTCACTTAATATGCACCTTAAATTGTTTAATGAAAATAAAGACTGAGAATACCTTAGTTATCCTTAGACCTGGTGTCCTTTAGGTTTATCTTGTCTTTTGAAAAGTGACTCAGCACACTGGGTTTCTGCTGGAAAATCACTGTGCCATGTAGTGCGGGTCTCCTGGGGCACCGTACAGGCACTGTGCCTGAACATCTATGGCATTCTGTGCCTTTAGAAATGACATTCTTCTCCTTTGTCCATTTCTGTTTAGATTGTGAAATACCCAGAACATCTCAATATTAGAGCATACATGTCTCAGCCTAGTGGAGAAGCCATGCAATATTCTTTGTATGCAGTGCTGGTCCACACCGGATCTAAGTGCTGTGTGGGCCACTACTTCTCCTACGTAAAAGTAAGTCGTGTGGATTTTGCTCTTGCTTTTACATAGACTCTGTAAGACAGCAAGCACTAGCATTCTCTGGGGGGAAAGCTGGCAGGTTTACAAGTGAATGCTTCTTTTCCTCCTCCTTCTCACTGTGTCTTTGTCAACTTGACCAAATCTAACATTTCTCTCTTGCTGGCTGTCTTTTGCAGGCAAGCAATGGTCTGTGGTACCAGATGAATGATTTCATGGTATCACCCAGTGATATTTCATCTGTGCTGAGTCAGCAAGCCTATATACTCTTTTATATCAGGTAATGTCAATGAAAAATCGGCCACTTTTTCTGTACTGTAATCGCTTTTCAACTCACCCACATTCAATTCATTTTTGAGTTATTTTTTTAAAAGCCAGTTTTTAGGTTTTACCCTTTTGCATGCTCTCCAGAGTCCGGAGGACATTTATGAGCTCGGGTTAAGAGCGGGAAGTAGCTCAGTGCCCCTTGGCACTCAAAATTGAGAGAGGCAGAGGAAGACAAAGGTGGTGACTAAGATGGTGGGGTGGCTTATGCTGCTACCTGAACATGTGAAGTGGCCAGAGGGCTCAGGAAGGGAGCTCTGAGTACCCTGCCTGGTCACACCCAGCACCTCTCTAACACTGAGCACAGTGCTGGTTAGGTATTAGTGTGGGCTGGGACAAGCAGTTGGTTGATTCTGATGTGGCTCTAACTTACAAATTCCACTTTTAGAAAATATCTGCTGTGCCCTCCACAGTGTCCCCTGCCTCTTTCATCCCACCACAGTCAAAGGAGAACGCAGGCACTATGACTGAGCCACACCACAGCCCCCAAGGTACCCCTGTGAAAATATGGTGGCTTACGGTTAAAAATATCCTAAAGTGTTCAACAATGGCAGAATGATGGGTGGAAATACTATGCAGTTTTCAAGAGAGACTTTTTTCATTTCTTCCTTTTTTAAAGACCGTTTCTTGCTGTGTCACCCATCGCATGCTGAGTGCTTTTTATAAACCCCTCCCTTTTTTAATGCTTTGAGAACGTGCTGACTGTACAAGGAGGGAAAGCAGTTTGTTATGAGACCTGGTGTTGCACAACAGATGGGGAGATGATCTGTCCAATGAAAGGGGAACCTTCTGTATGGACAGGACGATACATTTGTTTCCTGCTTTCCCATACACTCTCAAGGTTTTCTGCAGTACTCCATATTTTTAATTAAAAATACAGACAGAAAAATAGGCATCTGATAGCAGCATCCTCAGAATAGCATTTGAAAATACTGTTTCCTTTACCTCGCTGGCCTTGTGACCTGGACTACGCACCCCAACAGTGACCCACACCCCTACTGCAGCCAGTGCATCCTGTGGCTCTGTGCAGTGTGATGTACAAGCAGTGCCGTTGCCATCCGTGTGTTCCAGAGCGACTGAGTTTGTAAAGCAGTCCCTACTCAAGAGGCCCTTTGTCCTCCTAAGCCCTCTCTTTCTTTGTCCCTAGGACCTATGATGTGAAGCACGGAGGTGAGGTTACTGCTCATTTCCCCTGCCACCCCTGTCAGTTCTCTTCACACCCGGACACCCATCAGTGTACCTCGACCAAAGAGCAGGCTGCACCAGGGTTTAATGGACCACAGCTGCCATCTCACATGACACGGGTAATACTTCACATGTGGCCTCTGATTTTTACCTCACTCTAAGAGTCTGTCCTTAAACACTCAGGCTAACACTGCAGTAGTTGCCATGTCCTGTCTACAACTGGAATTCTTAACAAAATCCTATATTCAGGTCTTTTATTTCAAAACATGAAATGTACAGTTATTTCAGCATCAAAGATGATGGAGAGGTACACGTGGTATGAGCATATTTAAATGTTGGTACCCACTGTGGACCTGGGCTTTAACCTGGTGTCATATTGAGTTTTTAACTCACATTAGCCCTCAGAAAATTGATCCTATTAGAAGGACACTTTGTATCCACATAGCTATTTTAGGAATGAGCCATTTTTCCTCTGTGCTGTCCTCAAGCGTGTGATCATGCCCACGTGTCTGTGTGCCCAAGGGACCTGACAGTCCGCAGCGCGCAGCCATTGGGGACCCCTGCCCAGGCCTTCTGCAGCTTGAACTGCACTAGGTCATTGCTGCTGTCAGGTTTTGCAGCTCAGTTTGAGTTTGGTTTGAACCATGAGATTATCTGGTTAAACGCTTTTTTAAGTAGACTTTTGGGCTCTATTTCAGTTGCCTTTATGAGCTGGGGTGATGATGAGGTTTGTGATGGCCCGCTGCTGAATTGGGCAGCGCTTCAGAGACACATCCGGGGACTGACAAAGCAGAAAGCATGCACAGTGGGAAAGGGACAGGTGCAATAGACATTTTAAAGAGGTTTTTAAAACATATTAAGTATTTTTTTGTTTTACCATGCTGATTCAGCAGCTACTTTAGAAAATTAAGAAAACACCAAATAGGTCAACTAGTATTTTCCAGTGAACCAGCCGTCACCTATGTTGTCACAGGGTCCAGGGCTAGTACTGGAACCTAGAGCAGTAGAAGTGCATGAGTACAATGCTGACACCTCAACAGGTGACACCCAGCTGTCACAAACCCACATGCAGAGCCCAAAGCAGCCTTTGCTCCATGCCCATGTGACTTTCTCCTTTGTTTGGAAACCAATTGCAATTCTTGCTTCTGTGACTTCTGTCTGTACAGTGGTGACCTCCTAGGAATGCCAGCCAAGGAGAGCATACATGAACCCATGCCTAGAAGGACCCAGAAAGAATATGGTCCCGGGATGGTGTTCTGGGAGACATATATGTCCTGTGTGTGAATTAGTTTAAAATTAGGGCCTGTGATTGGTGCCTGTGGGTAGAGCAGATGCAAGAAAAGGGTGGTGGTTGTGATTTTGTGTAATTTGTCAGTCACAAGACCAACGTGGGAAGGCCGTAGGCTGGGTGCTGACCTGGCTCTGGCTTTCTCCCTTGCAGAATCTGCCTTACTGGAACAGGATCAGGGCACCAATAGACACATCAAGTAGTTCCACGTGGAGTCCTGGTGGAAATCCCAAGGTGAACAGGCCTAGGCCTGTTCAAGCTTCTACTTCTGTTCCAAACCGGTGAGTTTACAGACCCTCTGAGAGTCCACAATACCCTATGAGGGCCTGCGTAGAAATCTGAAATTAAGTTTATAGAGAATACAATTGTTCCCACATTCAATGTTTTTATTTTTAAGAAAACAAAACTGAAAGAAATAAAATAGAATAGACAATCAAGACGAAACAATGAAGATGATATAAGACTTCAAAACAAGGTAAAAGGAAACCAACTGTCTACCACGATGCTGCTTACTATCTCCAAAATAACTTCCTGTAACATTAGGCACAATAAAATCCAATAAAACAGAACCAAATAAAACCAATCAAAACAAAGCAATGAAAGCAATACAGGCCTACAAAACAAGACTGCAGGAGTACAACAGTGGCTACCATAATGCTGCTTCTTTTCTAAAATGTAGCTGTTTTTACCATCAGACGTAATGAAATCAAACAAACAAAATAGAAGTATCAATCAAAACAAAACAATGAACACGATACGAGGCTTCTTGTCAAGATAAAAGGAAATGGCTACCATAATGCCTCTTGTTATCTTCAAAATAACTGCCATACCATCAGGCATAATCAAATCAAATAAAACAGCAAAATAAAACTAATCAAAACAAAACAAAGTCATAGGGGACTTCAGGGCAACACAATTGGAATAAAACAGTGGCTACGATAAAGTATCTTGATATCTTCAGAGTAGCTGCTTACACCATCAGACATAATAAAATCAAACACAACAAAATCAAAACAAAAAATCACTTCAAAAAAAAATCAAATCAAGCAATACATTGCTCCAAATAAGATAATAGGAAATCCATAATGGCTACCATCATACTACCTTTTGTTACTTCAGAAATAGACATTCATGCCATCAAGTAAGATAAAATCAAGCAAAACAAATCCATAAAACCAAGCTAAACAGAAAAAGAACAATACAGGGTATGAAACAGGGTTTAGATTAACAATGGCCACAGCCTTCCCCCTGTAGACACCTCTTCCCCTTTCACCTTCACAACATCTATTGTGCATTTTGGATCCCATCAACTGCTTTAGTTTTTATACTAGGGAGAGAGCATGATGTTCCCTCTTGTGACTCTGAATCATTTCACCATGAGCATGATCTCATGTTGTATTCCTTTACCCACAAGAGCCTCAAGGTTATCTTTCTTTCTAGCTGAGTAGCTTTCCATTGTGTAGAAATGCCACCTCTCTCCTATCCTTTCTACAGCTGATGGGCAAGAGACCCCTACTTTTTTTCTGATTCCCTGTCATATAGAGCACTTTTCTCTCCTTAGACTATCAGTCTATGAATTTCCTTTTGAGTTCAATGTGTTTCTTGAATAAAGCGCAGTAATGGGTCTTATCCCCTCATCCACTCGGCCTGTGTTTCTTTTTATTGGTGAATGGAGCCATCTACATTAATGTTATGGCCTCCATCCACTGGCTGGTCTCTGCTGTGCTATTTTCCTGCCACTGGCTGCCTACTTTTCCCTCCTTTCAACTGAGTTCCCCAATCCATGGTCCCCTTCTGATGCTCTTTCTGGAATTCTGGTCTTATTATCTCTCACTAACATGTGCTTTAGTATTCTTCGCAGGGTTGGTTGGGTGGCTATGAATTCCTTCAGTTCTTTGTCATGGAAGTATCTTGCTTCTCCATTAGTTTAGAAAAAACTGTTTTCCAGGCTACATTGATTTGTGCTGGAAGCTGTTTTCTTTCAGGACTGGAAATGCTTCACTCCAAGTTCTTCTTGACTTGTTGGTTTGTGTTGCGAAGTCTGTCATGAATGTGATGGGTTTTTTATAGGTGATCTGTTTCTTTTTCATGCAGCTTTTCATATTGTGCTCTTGTGCTGAAATTTTGGAATCCTGATTATTATATGTATTATATGTGGAGATTTATTTTGGTTATGGCTAGCTGGTGTTCCATATGCCTTATCTGTATGTCACATTCTTTCCCCATGTTGGGGAAGTTTTCTGCTCCTACTTCCATAAATGGCATTTTGTGTTGACCCCTGCTTTCTCAGTGACACCTAGTATTCTTAAATCATTTTGCTTTGCATCATCATGAAATCATTGAATTGTTATTTCCTGCTATTATTTTTAAGAGATTTTTCCCTTACTATGGCAACCTCCACACCTGTCTTCAAGGTCTGAAAGTCTATCTTCTGTTTCTTTCAAGCAGTTTTACCAGATTTCAATGGAAGTTTTAATTTCCTGGATAACTCTTTGAATCTGTTTCGTGCATTCTAAATCTGTCCTAGTTTGTTCATTAAAGGTTTCTCTCTGTTTCCTATGCACTTCCCTTTTTAAATCTATGCGTTTTTTAGAGACGTTTAGCAACTCTTTTATCATGCGTTTCATTTCATCTTTTACCTGAGATAGTATTTCTGTTCACTAATTTGTTTTAGAGCCTCCTGAAGTTGTCTCTTTAATTCACTTGCCATCTCTTTAGAAACTTCAGACGCGCAACTCCCGATCTCTCCCATGCTTTTCTCTTCTAGACTTGCTCTGCTTGGTTTGAGTCCACGGGATGCCTTTTGCTTCTTCATCTTGACACTTTCTTGGGTTCTTCCAAACAAGCGGGTAGTGGTGTCCCAGGCCCTTCCTGCATTGGCTACAATTTCCCCAAAGTGTGCAAGTTTGATTCTCCTGGATTCTCCCGACTGCTGTGGCCACAGGGTGTGCTGGTACAGGTCCTGCTGCTGCTTTTCCCCAGTCATGCTTTCTCCCTGGGTTGGGAGCATCCCAAGGGCTGCTGGAGTGTGCAGGGGCAAGGGCTGGTGCTGACTCCCTATTGAGCTGGTTCTCGGCAGGCTGACCTACATTCAATTTTTAAAAACAAGTCAGTGTACTGACATAGCTGTAACACAACTCAGGAATAAGAGGAAAGGAATAGGGAGTTAAGCTGTGGTTGCTTCATGTGGAATCTGCAGATGAACCAAAGCTGCAGGACACAGTGTATCAGTGGGCAGATACCTGAGCACCTGCAGGTGCACCCTGTGATCATTCAGCATGAACACTGCATCCAGAGTTGCCATCGGCACCACTGGGCTGTGAGCCACTTTGGGGAAGCTTCAGCCACTTCACACTGTGACCATTTCTCATTTTACACAATCCTTTACTTCCTGGGAAGGGTAATGTCTACGGAAATGTTTGAGTGTGTAGGATGGAAAACGATATTACGGAGCTTTTGTTGGATCATGGAACGGAACTGTCTCCAATTTCACTCTGTGAATGTCCACTTTATATGCTTTAATTTTGTAATTTGGACAACTGTTTCTAAGAAGACAGTATGTACCCATTTACCAGTGATTTCTTACTGTACATTTGTTTTTGAAATTCTGTATTACTTGTACCCTTTTACTGCTTTGTTTTTTATGTCATGTCTTTTTTTGTCTTTAAATAAAAAAAAGAAATGGTAACAATAGTATAACCTGGGGTTTCACCCCAATAGATGTGAGGACATGTCAGGGAATAGCCACCTCCATGGCACTGTGAGCACCCCAGATGGCCCCCAAGACCCTATGTTAGGGATGTGGCATTATTAAAGAAGAATGGAGAGGCAGAGCACACTCCATCCCCCTTTGCCTTCAGATAGAATAGCTGGGTGCCCTGCATTTGCACAATGACTTTGCCCTTGTTTCTTTCCTAATTCACCTTGCTGCTCAAAATGAATGTGCAAGAGAATTTGTGTGTATACACTTAAGTGAGGCCATGCATGCATTGTGGCCAAGCACATGTGCTTTGATTTGCAGCCTCAAAAGTCCCCTGCTACACTCAGGGCTACTACCTTGCCCTCAGGGCTGTAGGAGTGATCTCCTAAGTGGAGAGTGGAGATCACGGTAGGGGTTGCACTGTTTCCAGAGCTGTGGAGAGCCTCAATGAGTCCCTTAGTTTTCCTTAATTTAAGGAGTTGTTGGCTCTGTTTGGAAATAGCTACCTCACCTCTGAGCTTCCAAGAGAAAGAAGGGAGGCAGGAAAGTCATCAACTAATGACTTAGTTCTTGAGAATTAGAAGTACATCTGGAAACAAGCAATGTGCAGAGCTGCAGAATTATTGTCGTTGAAAACCGGGTAGGCTTGATGTAAATTTTGGTTGGTGTCCAGAAGTGGTAGCCTGATACTGTCCATAAGGTAGCTAAATATACCTAAAGTAGCTATATTTAAAGTGAAAAAATATTTACTGAATGAAAGCCATGACAATGCATGTAGAGCATCCTGCTAACTATTGGCTTGTCTCTTTCTTTTGGCGGGATGCAGTGTTCCTGGAATGGAGCAAAGTCTGTTTGGGGACCTGACTGCAGAACTTGAGGCTGTCAGTGTTTCTGCTGGTTCCCATGATGAAGTGGACCCGATTGCAAGTCTGTGTGAAATGTTTAAGAAACTTTTGCTGACCCCGGAAATCAGCCTCAAATCCATGAGAGATGTGATGTCAGAAACCAGCTCAGCCATAACTGATGTGTCTTTGCCCTTTGTAAAGAAACTTTGCAACAAGAACCAGACAAGCACGGGTGCAGACCCACTTTATGAGCCCTGTGATGCTGGGAAGGTAACACAGGACTGCAGCAAGGTGAACGGGTTACCTGAGAGCCTGCAGCACTCTGGACTAGCCGGGACAGTGGAGCAGCTGAGCCCGGCTCCCTTCACACAGTCAGAAGGCAGATGTGAGCCCGGGCCCTTGGTTTCCCTCAGGGGAGATCAGTGTGGTGACACAGGGGCTGAGACCCAGAATATAGGAGAATGTGCCAATGCACTGCCTTCTACTCAGCCACAGAGTACCCCAGGCACCCATCCTGAAGGGGACCCTGCGCACAGCCATGCCAAGGGGTGCAGTGAAGTTCAGGTTGTGCAGAAGGTTCCTGACCACCGTACACAAAAAATAAGCAGCCGTACGCGATGTGACCATGAAGGTTACCATTACCGTCACGACTGTTCCTCCACTGGGGAAGATGTAAAGAAAAGCAGGGGTAGAAGCCAGAGCCGGAGGCGGAGCGGGAGCCGGAGCCGGAGCAGGAGCCGGAGCCAGAGCCGGAGCAGGAGCAGGAGCAGGAGCAGAACTGAGGGTAACTGTGACAGAAAGTGGCTCTGCTACGCGAGAAAGCACAACAAGCTGGAGTGCCATGCTGTGCAGCACTGCAGTGCCAACCAGGACCCTCTGTGTTGTGGAGACAGAGTCAGTCCCGGGAAGCCCTGTGTTCTGAGCAGATACAGCTCCCACCACTCCCAAACCTGGAGTGGGGCTCAGCAGGACTGGAGCCCAGACTGCTCCTCTGGCAGGGAGCATCGCAGGCTTCCAGAGAAGTCTTACCCCAAGAAAATGTGGTGGGACCAGTGCAGATACCTCAACAGGTACACTCCATACGAAGCCAGGGAGCGCAGTGTGAAACGGTCACACAAGGATTCTTCCCAGGCCAGGAAGGGCCAGGAGCTGCCTGCCCTGCTGTGTGAGTGGACCGGCTTCCACAGCCCACACACTGGTGCTTCACCGCCTTGCCCTCTGCACCCTGAGTGCTACCCTCAGGAGAAAGCTGCCTTCGGGGCTGACCACAGTGGTTGCAGCCTGTCGCACCGGATTCGTGGACGTGAAACCATGAGGTCACGCAAGCGCAGGTACCAGAGTGCAGAAAGTATCTGTAACGGGGGTAGCACACCAAAGAAAGCCCGCAGGAGCCTACCGAGAGACCTGGAGGAGCCTAACAAATCTAAAGCCAAACACCATGAGTGGGAGCACAGGTGAGTGCGGGCTCTGCCAGCAGGGTCCAGTCCCTCAGCTCTGTGGGTTTTGAAACTTCACTGTTTCTCTGCATTTCTAAAACGGTGCAGCTTTTACCTCCTGTATCATAAAATGCCTCATTTCGCCATTCTCAGTGAATGCTTTGTAAATCCTAGGAATAATTGTGAGTTCTGTAGAGGTAACTTGGTGACTTCAAAATTGATGATCAGGTAAGTTACATTTCATAATTTTGTTTTTGTTTGTAAATTGAGAGACTAAATGGAAGCAGGCAAAGGTAGGGTACAGTTCTATTGGTATTTGCCCTGTATGCCAAGGGTGGATTCTGAGGGGCATCATTTATTTTCTTGGTCGTCTTCTAAGAATCTCAATACAAAACCTAAAAACAGTCACATTTTTAAAATGCTAAATAGGTTGTTGATTGTGTGAGTGTGTGTGTGTGTGTGTGTGTGTGTGTGTGTGTGTGTGTGTGTTGGGGATGAGACCCACAGCTGTGCTCATGAGGCCAGCGCCTGCCAGGGAGCCACAGGCCCAGCCTTGGCTGCCGCCTTGAAACCGACTGCTTCATGAGAAGATGAGTGAGGATGGGTGGAATTCCTGTGTATTCTACTTAACTTCCTTTAAAAACCTAAAATCCTAGCGAAGGAAGGCCAAAAGCTGTATATAAACAGGCATCGGTTACTTAGGGGGCAGATGAAAGCAAATTACCAACCCCTTCCTCCTCTAAGTCTCAGACACTGGAAAAAGGTTTTTCTTCTACTTTCTTCCTTCTCTCTTCCTCTTTCTTTCTTTCTTTCTTTCTTTCTTCCTTCCTTCCTTCCTTCCTTCCTGTCTGTCTGTCTGTCTGTCTTTTTCCTTTTCCTTCTATCACTGATTTCAGTAGATGTCCCATACTTCCATGTTTCCAGCTGACACCCCCAGCTCCTGAGCACAGAGCCTGTGGTGGGGGAGTCAGGGGTGGGTTGAAGTTGGTGAGTTTATGGCCCTGGGCTTTAAAATGATTTACAGCTGAAAGTGGAGAACCCTTCTGAACTAGATAAGCACTGACTCGTGGCTTTACATTGAGTGCCTTCAGTAAGTGGTCAGGACAGTGCCATGTGCTGTCTGAGGTGGTGCTGGTGCTTTTGTTGCTAATATCTGGCTGCTGCTTCTGCAGGTGTCTGCTGGACACAGACCTCCCAGTAGTGCAGTCAGACACTCAGCCCTGCAGATACCAAAAGAAGAGGCACTCGGAGAACTTTGGAACAGAACCAGGACTTCACTCACCCAAGACCACAAGCTGTGAGACTGTGGATGATGTCTGGAGACCTCAGGGTAGCTCCCTGCTTGCTGATGGCCTGCCTGTGGAGGGCTTTGGACTTTTTCAAATGGAAAAGAAACCCTTAAAGCTGGACAGCAGGACTGACCGGTACCAGTATGGCCAGGGTAAGAAGCGATTTGTGGAATTAAGAAGATAAAAACTCTTTCACAAAACTTGTTATGAAATGAGGACTGACACAGGGAGGTGTAAGCCCAAGTCCCTGGAAGGTGGTGTGAGTAATGCAGGGCTCCTGTCTCTCCAGCCGCAACTCACAGGCCCTGTTGATTCACTATCCTTGTGTAGTTTGGATGCTTGACAAGGATCCATTAGCACTGAAGGATGGTTTCTTGGAAGTTGAATTTATGACTCCTGAAATTCATGGCTCTCTGGATTTCTGCATATTTACTTACAAGGGAGAACTTACTGTTTTTGATGCATTTTTAGTAATGATGCTTTTGCACAGGCAGAGTGTATTGTAACTCACAACTTGATGACATAGGCCATTCAAAAGTTAGCTGCCACCTCTAAAGTCGACGCCTTTGCGCTCCTGGTTTCGCCCTCTTATTCTGGGATACTGGGCATCTTGGATCCTTGTGTGTCAACTGTGTCTTCTTGTGAGTTAGCAGCTCTTTGTGCTCTGATTGCAGTCGGGCAGCCCCTCCCCCTTTGTAAAAGGTTCCCCAAGGAGGAGCCCTGAGAAGCTTGTTAAGATTGAAAGTGACAGGAATGGGTCCTGGGACACAGTTTCCAAGCTGCAAGTAGAAGACTAAAGCAGGTCCATCATGACCTGCTTGACAATCCATCATCATGGGACCTCAGTTTACTTTCAGGGGACTCTTGTTGCAGGGGCTGTGTGCAGCTTGACCTTGCTCAGACTGATTGGTGCTGAAGGCAGGCAGCCAGTGTTAAGCTTCAACAAAACTATGAGAACCACTTCATTCATGCTGAGAGCACAGACACTAGAAATTGTACTGTCATTACAATGTTTATTAACCTTTGCCTTTCAGGTGATTGACAACTTGGTCTCGGAACAAATAATAATCACTAGCTCAGGTAAGTGCTTCCCCTGGGCATTTTCTTCTTCATAGAAGCACTGGGAAGGGACAGAGAAGGCGTCACATTTCTGAGGAAAGTCAAGGGTCATGGAGTGGTGAGCTATGGAACCAGCAGCAATGATGGGGACCTCTGAATTCTAAGCAAGCACTGGAGGGTGGGACCTCTTCTCCCTGGCTAGGCAAGGGGAGGCACTGCTTCTTCCCACCTTCCTCCGCGGAAGAAACCCACAGGGAACCCCCATCAGAATCAGCCACCATGAGATAAGCATCTGGGATGAGAAGCCCTTGTCCCCTCCCCAGAAAGCAGAGTCCATCACAAGAGCTCAGCACCTATGCCCGGTGGGTGGTCAGGCCGAGGCTAGGTCATACCCCTCACTTGACACTGCCATCTTGTTGGGATGAGGTCCAGGGGACTAGTGCAGAGCCTTCATTTTATGGAGGCTGAGTCTGAGTCTCTGGTGTTCTGTAGTCCTGGGAGGTGGGGACTCCTGTTCCATGTTATCCACTGGTGGAAGCAAAGAGAGAGGTGAACCATTTAACTCCTGAAAGGAAACTGTCTTTATGGTACTCATAAACCAATCAGCAAGGATGATTTTAAATGAACTTGGAGGTGAACTATCGAAAGACGATCAGTGTGCAGTTAATTAACACTCTTTACTTGTGTGTCCTCAAGGGAAAGCCTTTAAGTCTGAGGACTGAAAGTCTTCTGGAGTGAAAGAGGATCTAAGGATTGGGAAGGACTGGCCACAGCTGGGTTCCAGGCTATGCAGGTGCAGTGTGGCCCAGCAGGTGGTGCTTCCCTGGCCAGGGAAGCTCCTCTGCAGCTGCCTGGCTTCCATGGGTTCCTCTTCTGCCTTCAGAAAGGCAGCCATGGCTTCAGTTGAAAAGAGCTTCCTGAAGAGCAAGGGGACCTGAGGACTGGGGGGGACAGAAAGGGGAACCTGGCTCCGGGGGGACCCTCCTTTTGACTAATGCCTGTGCCTCCTGTCTTTCAGATTCAACATGTTCCACAGCAGTCATCCCAACTCGGTTACAGTATTAACATAAATTTGTTCAAATCTGGGTGATGCCTCCTTAGTAAATGCTGTACATATTTTGCCATGATTCTTTGGGTTTTTATCTTTTCTTAATTGCCCCTATTCCAAAAGGATGAACACTTTCTGCACCTGTGGACATTGTAAAATGCTGTGTATATAAATCACAATGAAAATAACACTCAGCCACAGCACATCTCACGTGCTGCTGAACTGCACAATTACACACTCAGGCTGAGGACTCATATTTATGTAGTGTTCCTCCAAGTTAGGCACGTGATTGTGCAAGACCAACTGGGAAACCATGGAATTATTAAAAGGACAAACTGACAGCACAGGGATTTCATTTAAAGACTTACTTAAAAATTTACAAGCTTTCAACTCGACCTTTGATGGCAGGCTGTTATCTGTGGTGTCTGACACTAAAAAATTAATTTGCTTCCTAGTTTAATTGTATTCAGGTGTGAAAAGGTGTTTCACAGGCAAGATTTGCTTTGGAACTTTGCGGAACTATTCCAAACAACTTAGCAGCTATGCTGAGTATTCATACTATTAATTTAAAGTCCAAATACTTGTGAAGATTACAGTATGTTCTTTATGATATAACCCTTTCTTATACTGGGTCTTGTCACCTGTAGGATCCTGGAGTCAGTTGTCAGCCTGGTCCTAAGAGTTCTAGTTATGGACAAAATCATGCCGTGATGTTATTTTTCATATGGCTATGCTATAATATTGGAGCAGGGAGCATGGTATTTAGTAGTGTCTGTGTAAATAATTGCATGGTTTAGACAGTTTGTGCGGTTCAGCGATTCCTAGTTTGGTCTTTGTTCTCTTAAAGATGGAAAAGCACTTGCTCCACTGTCAATATGCAGCAGGTGGAATTGACATAGTCCATAAACGGCAGCAAAGCCGTCAGTTTGTGGCATTTGTCAGCTTTTGTCCCCACTCACTTGCACCTGCATCTTCTGTCTTCTCGTTCACTATACTGAAAAGCTGCACAGTTCTGCCAGAATCTCCAGGGGGGCCTCAGACCTCAGCGAAGGATCCAGGGCCACCAGGCCGTGCTGTGCTGGGCCCAGCACATCTCTATTTTAAGGAAGCAAGCCTTAGACAGCCTTACTTTAAAAACACATGTGGTTTTGATTTAGTGAAGGCAATATTGCAAGCTTTAACAGCCATACACATTTCACTTGCTTTGCTCACTTTACAGAAAATTATTGGTAGATATTTTATTATCGAGAAATTACTCATGTAAGTGGTAGGAGGTATGTACAGTGAATAGCGAAACACTCAAATCAATCTTATGTACATATTGCTTATATTTCGGTTAATAGAGACATTTTCTGGGGAAAAAGAAAATAAAAATAAGAAAACTGGACTCTGATCTATAATAGCAGCAGAGCATCTGTGTAGATGGGTGCATTTTTAATCTTAAAAACAAGCACTGCTTTATATGAGGCATTAGATGCTGCTTTATTTACAAAAGTTTTAATTTGAGTTCATTTAGTGTCCCATTAAACCACCTGAACTGTTTCAGGAACCTGGAGATATGGGGCCTCGTGTGCCCATAGGGTCGGGCCAAATAAACCTCAAATGGTACCCGGGACCCAGGAAGACAGCTCGTCTGGTGGTGCTCTTTGTGGAGCTGCCATCTCTGGGCCCAGGTTCCTGCTCAGAACTGCCTGCCACCCTTTGTCTCTGGAGGAAGCTTGGTTTCTGGCCAGACATGGGACCAATAATGCAAGACAAAGTTTAGACCCTCACGTGGGGAGGCGATGAGCACAACTGAGCCTCACTGTCTGCTCACTGAAGGGAGGCTCTTCCCACTTCTAGGTTGCCTGGTATAGGTCAGGTACACAGCAGGATGTCAGATGCCTTCAGTGTTAATACTGTCACAGAAATCCTGGAGCTAAGCGATGTCAAGCAAGGCTCTTGATAGGGCAAGTTACTGAAGATGCTGAGCCCCAGGGTCTTCTGCCTGATCCTGGGTGAGCAGCCATCTGGCATAGATGCACAGAGGTGACCGTGGTGATAAAAGATTCACCAACAAGACTCCATGCTCACTTCTCTCAACACCTTCAACAGAAAGGCCCACATGCCCCAGGAGGGTGCCCTGGGATAGATTTCTAGTACTGCAAGAGAAAACATAAAAACACCTCCAAATCAGCACTGCCCATCTGCAGAGAACTTGGGGAGGTTTAAAAGCAGTTGCCAGATAAGAGGAGCTACAGGGCCACCATGAGGAGGCTCAGAAGCTCAGTCCCACAGCCTCACTCTTCTGTCCTCATGGGATCAGGGGTGAGCCTTTGGCTAATGCAAGAAGACAGAGGACAGAGGGGTCCTCAGAACCAGCAGAGAGACTCAATTTCTTTACACTCAGTAATTCAGGGAAGAGATTTACCAACTGCTTGTCTTTTCTGTGACTGTAGCCAACAGCTCAGCAAGCCCCACTTCTGCAAGGATCCCAGTACTTTTGTCCCCACTGGCACAGTTTCCTGGATCCCACCAGTGATTTCTGGAGCTTGATGACATCCCACAGCGCTTACAGTGCATGTGAGGCCACATCAGCATCACAGAACTGAACTTGGAGGAAGGCCAGCAGCAGTAAGATACATCTGGGGCCTGCCTCACCTCAGGCCCAAGCCAGTGGCTGCTCCTGCCTCAGGGACCAGGTCCCAGTGAGCAGATGCTGCTGCCATTGGCCCCTCCCTGTGAGGTGTCCCACTGACTACCCTCCCTAAAGTTGCAACCCCCACCCTCTGTGCTTTCCTGGGCTGCATGGCATCCTCCACCTCCTGTTTTCTGTCTACCTGGAGGGTGGAGGGCATGGACCATGACTTTGCTCTCCTCTGCAGGTGCCATGGCCAGTCCTTCACTCAGTGATGTTCCAAGCTGTGGTGTCCTGAGACCTGGTGAGAGCTGAGGTCAGGCCTAGAGGCTCTGATGAAGCTTCCGACATGCTTGTATTTTGGGCGGGTATGGGGGTTTGGTACCAGGAATCAAACTCCTGAACTGGCTCATGCCAGGCAGGTGCTTTTGCCACTGAGCTAAATCCCTGGCTGTCCTCAGTTTTTCAGTGGGCAGGGAAGGCTGTTCTTGCTTTGCAGATCCCCATATTGGGCTGCTCCCTGCTGACCACTACTGTCCCCTACTCTACTCTGTCCTCTCTCCTTGGTTACTTACATTTGAATCTGTTTCTGCTGGCACCTTCTCCAAAGTGTTCATACTATGACATGGTCCCGGTCTCAGGCCAGCCACCTTGGGCTAGGTCAGGCCATGCCTGCTGCTCTTCCCTTGTCCTCACCCTGTTCAGCAAATCATCCCACAGTGTGCTGCCCGCCTACCACCAGCCTCCCTAGACAGCTGCTCAGACCACAGGACAGCAGCACTGCTCCTACCAGGCCCCCTGTCTGGTGTTCCCTGTACTTCACCAGTGACTCTCCTCTGCCCCGATCCCCCCAGACCTCCACCCCAGTGGCTCGAGGACCCTTACTCTTCAGCCTCACATTTGTCTCCATAGCAAGCAGCTCCTTCCAACAACTCATATCCTTGGCTTAGGGCATCTATTATCCCTTCCCTCTCTCTGTCCAGGGCAGCCAGCTGGGCCACCCCATGTACTGGCACTGTCACCTGAGTGATAGGCCAAGGACAGAGTGACAAGAGTTGCACAGGCTGAAAAGAGCCAAGGACCCACTGTATCAAGGCAATGCTGACTGCTCTCTGTCCCCTTGGTCTGCTCCTGCCCTCGGTGCAGTGCACAAAATATTGACAGCTGTAGGACTTTTCAGGAACCCCTAGCTCTATGCCAGTAATCAGCTGCCCACATCCATGGAAGCTCATTGGCAGTGGCCATGCCGTGGCCTCTTTCGCAACTCACCATGCCTGTGCCCTTCTCTGGACACACAGCTTTCAAGCACCAAATGTGAAAATATGAATCAGGTCCCCATGGTGCCTACACGTCCAGGCCCTCAGCCACATTCTTTGAGTCTCTATGGTGAGAACAGATCTGCTCCGCTCTTTTGCATTTGATACTTGGGGTGAGTATTATAAGACAATCCTATAAATTATGTGTCCTGCATTGTTTCCCCTGCAAACGGTGACTACCATAGACAGGAAGTATCAGAAAGGCAAGTCAGACTCAGTTTCCATGGACAGAAACGCAGTGTGATGATCTCACTGGTTTGGACTCAGCCAAAGTATCAGAGAGACAGAAAACTGCACGGTCTGATTGTCCAATACCATTCTCCCATCCAAGGACTAACCAGGTCCGACCCTGCTTAGCTTCCGAGATCAGAGGAGATCGGACGTGTTCATCTTGGTATGGCCATAGACTCCAATACCATTCTACGCTTTACCCATCCAAAGAAAAGTACATATGTGTCTTCTGGTGATGTACCAGTTTAAAGACAAATAAGTGGGTTACTGAACAAATTATTACAAGTGATTGTTTCATATAAGGCTTCACCAGCCTGACAGTGCAACAGGATGGTAAACCTTGCTGTCCTGAAAACTGCAGAGCAAGAGAGGGGTATGGTAATGAAGCAAAGACACCAGGGGGGCCCCCATGAGCAGAGGCAGCGCTGTTACTGCTCCCTGGCCTGGTCTATGACTGGCACCAAAGATCAGGAAGCTGGCCTTACTGAAAAACCAGCAGCTCAAGAGCAGGCAGTGCCTCCGGTTTTCTCTGGAGGGGCCACAGCTTTAAGAGGTTCTTGCAGTCCTGTCACCTTCTATTTCCATCCCTCCTATGTGTTCTATAATCTCTGTGGCTACAAAGTTGGTGGCTGTGCCCTGAGAAGCCAAACGTCTAATAGGCCCAAGGGAGGGTTTGCTCTGGACACTCAGGACCTATCTTTGCAAGTCAGTACACTTCAGACCTCAAGGAACATGGGTACATCCTGTGACATGACTCAGGAGGACTTAAGAAAGCCGGTCAGGCTTGGAACAAGGAAATTTCTGTGCTTGCAGGTGCGGAACAGAGAAGTGGCCGCTGGGGAGGCTGAGTTTCCTTTGAAGGAGACTGGGGCTGCAGCCATGAGAAACTGGGACCCACTGTTCAAGTTCACATCC